ATGCATAGATATCAATGAAGACTGTCCAGCAGGGATAACAATAATTGGAGTCCTTGATATTCTTTGTTTGGCTTGTTGAGAAGCAGTCAATTTGGCCTATATTTTATAACCATTAAAATTATTTAATTGAATAGTTTAGACATGCAGATATTATTCAAAAGATAATTTATATTTAACAAGATATTTAATGATATTCTGATGTACATAGATAATACCCCAAAAAATTAATATTGAAAAATGCATACATTTTTTTTTAGACATTTTCTTACATTTACAATACTGGGAATAAGGTAATTGATGATTGTTTATTAAAAAAACATAAAATGAGTTATATTTATGTGATTAACACATAGTTGAGTAGTTATATGTTTTAAAGGCTTTAAGGCATAGTCTTAACCCCAATCTCATAATAAAATAAAATTATAAAACAAGAAAAAACTGTTGGAGAAGGTGGGTAACAATTATTATTTTAATTATTCAATTAGCAGCCATAAAGTAACAATTATAAACAATGCCTTGAAAAGCACTTTTATCTGTTTTCTCAAAATGATAACTAAACGATATAAAAAACACAAACAATTTTAGATAATGAATTATAACAAAGTGCATAAATAGTCGCCATAACTTTCAGTTGGAAATTTAATCAAATTGTTATGTTGAAGAATTTTGAATTTTCTCAATAGTTTCTAGTGTTGCTACTTCAACTAGCAAATCAAGCACTTTTAAAAATAATTTATCGATTACAATGATTTTTCATATATACCCCACTTTGTATTTTTTATGGTAGTACATTTATTCCGAAACACAATAAATATAATAAATATGATACTTTAAAACACAAAACCTATCAATTGTTCTAAATACTAATAATATATTATATTGATTGGATTTTTTTTTAACTCACCAAAATTTCGTTTTCCGTAAACTTATAAAAACAATTTTAAAATATTAATGTAACTTCATTATAAATAATTTAAAAATAAAGTTAAACTACCATTGGTACCCAATTGTTAATTATTATTACAAGTAATTGACTTACATGTGGACCAGACCGAGAAGATTGTTGTACAGGGGTAACAGTAGCTACAGGTTTTTTTGGAACTGTTCCTTCGGTCACAGATTTCAATGTCATACCATGGTATGTACCCATAGTATCAATCTTAAAGCCTTCGGTATCTAAACATCAAAATGTTTAAGTTAAATACAATTTTAAATAAGGAACTAAATAAATTATACAAATATTCAAGCAATTGACTAACCTTCTCTTGATTTAATAAATCTTTCTTGATCGTAACGATTATAAACAGTTGGCTGTGGTATAGTTGGTTTAGGAGGCGCTACACGTGGTGTAGCTGCCATACTATGTGATGGACGTGACCTCCCTTCTTCACGGTTTTTAATTGATTGAAGTATTGCAAAAATATTTTTTCCAAAAACCTTAAACAAAAATTAATAAATACATTTGTCTACAATCTTCTTTAAAATAATAAAATAAAACATTTATTTTTCTGGGGGACGGAGTGGCCGAGTAGACTAAGACATTGGTTGCAACGCTCACCGTCGCGGGTTCAAACTTTGGTAACAGACGGGACTTTTCTTCGGGTGTTACATCTGTCTGGAGAGAAAGGCCGCCATCCCCCAACCGGGCATGGCAGAAACCTATGAGAGCCCAATCAAAATTTTGCCTAACACAAACACACACGTGTTAAAACCTACCGTTCCTCCTCTCCTACAAACCAACAAACCTTCAAATATACAAAAACAGCTAATGGCCATAGTTACCGGGCTTAAGACTAATTAAAAATAAAAAAATTATATTTTACTTATTCTAAAATTAACAATATTTGTTGATTACTTTTCCATTGCTTTGCAAAATAGTAGTACGAGTTCTCCATTGTCTTTCACGTTTAATGATGTCCTTTGTTATATCTACATCAAAATCCAACATAACTCTAAGATCTGGACCAAGACCTATATCATCATGTCCTTTAATGGTAGTACGCTTTTTTGCCAAACGTTTGGCTTTGATTGCAGCAATTTTTTCAACAGACATAGCTTCCGAAAGAGATCTATTAAAAATATTTAAAATTTGCAATATTATAAACATTTTTTTTTTGCTTGTTCGAGGTTATTGCCTTCAATTTCACTAAAGCACTATACCACATGTATCAACATAATATATTAAGTAAAATTTTTTTATTTGGTCGATTCAAAACTTGAATAAAAACTGTACAGTATAATTTTACAAAATCAATTTTATATTTCCAAACATAAAATATTGGTTTTCATTATTGTATTAAACTGATGAAAGATGAATATATTCAGACTTGTAGATTCTATACTTAACATTTTTTTTAAATATTACATTTATGTTGTATAATATTTACTTGATATTGTCAACATTGACAGCAGACTCTTTAGGTGCATCTAAACGTGCAGCCAACTGTTGTTTAACCCTTTGAACTTGTAAAGTATCTTCCATACGAGGTTTTTTAGCAACTGATTCTTGTACATCTTCCACAGCACTTCGTTTAACCTGTTCAAAATATAAAATATACAAACCCAATTGTAACAAACAAGAAAATGTAAAAAAAGGTAAAAATTTAACCTGAGTTGGAATTTCAAGAGGAGCACTGCGATCGATACTAGCAGATGTAGATAGTTCCCCATTTAGGTAAGCTAGGAGTTCCCTTCGATCTGGTCTTCTTACAACTGGTATATTTTCAGCCTGAAATTATAATCAAGAAAAATTTTATAAAATTCAAATCAGATAGTGGTTACCCAAACGATATTAAATTACTTACAGCTGCTTGTCGCACATATACAGGATGCGTGAGTGTAACATTCTTTAATAAAAATAATAGACATTCCAATGTATAATACTCTTTTGGTGCACCATCTTTACCAGAACTAGAACATCATGTAAGTAATAAATAATTATATTCATAAGATAAATATATAAATACTAGGATGAAAATTGAGTGAACTGAATGTTATACAAAACTTGCATTAAGTCGTGAACTGTTCTTCATACAAGTAAAATTATACAAATTGTATACCTGTTTACTTACCCATACATCAAGAAGTTTGTATTAACAGTTTTTGACCAAGATAAGTCACCAAATAATATGTGATTGTCCTTAATTATGATTTCTTTTTTGTTAATATTGTATGTCCTTAAGAAAGTTAATGGGTCTGCCATTTTGAAGCAAATTAACCACAAAAATAAATAGAAACAATACTTAAAATGTTAAATAATAAAAAATGTACAAAAATATTTTGTGTACGTACTAGCGTACTACGTACATTGATTCTATTTTACTAAGCGATCTCATTTTATCAAAATGATTATCAGTACCTAAACAAAAAATACCAATTTGCTATCACTTATTCACTTATCATCATAAACGTGCAGTGTGGCAACAAGCTTGAATGTTTTCAATGAAATATAAATTTTAATTTAATCCACACAGACCTCTTTTTTTTTCATTAGAATAATAGAATATAATATACAATCTGTAAATTAATTTTTTACAATAAGAATATGAGTTAGATAAGTATGACATGAATCGCGTGATAAAAGAACCAACCCAGCGGCCAGCGGCTACACTTTACATATCATTCCACACAGACCTGAAATTAAAAACAATAGATGAAGAAGCCCAAACACTTTTATAAAAAATTCCACTACCGTCTATTCTCCCACTCAAATCCTTTAATTAAAAATCTTTCCTCCCTCACAATCCCTGGTAGCCCTTCTAGACGCTTAAAACGTAAATGGTGTAGACCTTTTACAAATCTTAATGAAGAAACAAAAAAAAAAGTTAGTTAATTCTTATTATTATAATGTTGCTAAGTCTGATAAACTAGTTTAGTAATATTCTACTTTCCGGAATACGATCTCATCTCTATCTCGACCATTATTATAGGCATTATAATATTATATCTTTTGGAATAATTTGATCAGCTATCAAGTCTGGAGTAAGGGGGGGGGGGCATGGCCACCAGGCCTCGGTAGTTGGAACTCATTTAGGGACCTCACTACCTCAGATTTGTCAGTTAATTTTTTCGTTATAGGCTATAAATTGCATAAATCGCCTAAAAAAAAATCGATGATAAATCTACTGACGACATTATTTTCAATTACATATGTCAAATATACATCTTATAATAATTCTTAATAATGATATATTGATTTGCATTTTTACAGTTTTTACTTTTTACTACTAAAATGTATAATATGTAGATTACCTACCCGCATATTGCTACACACATTTTCAGTAATAATTATTGCTTATCGACGGCCGTCGCCCATCAATTAAACATGCTAAAGCTATTATTGTCCATCTCCATCAGTACACAACAACCCAAATTTGTCGTCTTCTGTTATCGACTTATCGTTATTCATTTTGACTCTTGTTAAATCACAGTTATATAGAATAAATTTTATTCTATATATCTGTGTGTTAAATGAAATATGAATAATCTTTAATCTTTAATGAGTACATTTTTGGATCTTTCATTATTTCTTCATATTTTAAAAATGAAAAGACATTTTGAAAGTGGTTGCCTCAAAAAGAAAAAGAAAAGAAAAACAACAAATTTAAGTAAATAAGTACAGAGGATTAATAAATACAGGGGCCTTAATTCTTAATCCGGGCTTGTAATTGATAGCTGGATTGCTGGTGGCAAAGCCTTACGATTTAAATCTAAGTAATGAAGATCATCAGCTGTACCTAATACAATATCTATCTTAAGTATTATTGTACTGTGGTATTATTTTAGTTCATGGTACCTATGAAACCAATTTTTTAATTTTCGATTTAATTGCCGATGAACGGCCAACGGCGTGGGAATGGGCAATGGGATCATAGACCTTATACTCAGTACAAGGTCTATGAATGGGATTCGTTTCTAACCTTAGTAGGTTGGCATGAGCTTTTTTTTTGGTTTTTATCAGATTTGCTGTTATCAATTGTTATCAATATCGGTAAAAATCACCGGCGGCAGGACAATTTTTGAATAATATGCTATTATATATACTTAGTTATTTCATAGGATAATATACTTAAGTACTCAATTTATCGTTATTTAGTACTTACAATCGTGACTTTATCGTTTATTATGAAATAACACATAAACATTTGCTTATAGTTAGTATAATAATTCAATATTTAATACTATTAACAATATTATGAACAGATTATAACAACTTAAAACAGTGTAGTACGATTTGTTATAATTATTCTCTGAGATTGAGATTAATTCGCTGTACCTATATTTTTGTCATTGGTCTATTGTAGTTCTTATTGTTTCAATTAACTAATTGTTACTAAAAAACTGATCACCATTAAGTATTCTTTTAGTCTTACAATATTGCAAAACTTGATATTAAATACACTTTTACCTTTATGCTTAAATCGTAAATAGGCTGTATTTTATATTCTCCATGTCCGGCCAAATCAAACCAATAAATAAATTGGACGTTCATAAAATATGTTCTGGTCAGGTAATTATACATGGACAAACAATATATATGTATATTATTGTTGTTATTAAGATGTACCTAAATAATATAATATTTCTATACACTTTTTTTAGGTTGTATTAAACTTGGCTACAGCAGTAAAGGAGTTAATAGAAAATAGCTTAGATGCTGGAGCCACTTCAGTTGGAATTAAACTAAAAGAATTCGGTAAAGATTTGGTAGAAGTTACAGATAACGGATCTGGGGTTCATCCTGACAATTTTGAAGGACTGGGTATGAATATAATGATATTTTAAGATACTAATACTCAATCTAACTACAATTATTTTCATATAGCTTTAAAACACCATACATCCAAAATTAAAGACTTTGCTGACCTGACTTCAGTAGAAACATTTGGTTTCCGTGGAGAAGCATTGAGCTCATTATGTGCTTTAAGTGATGTAATAGTGACCACTAGACATTCATCACAAGAATGTGGCATTAAGTTAGTGTTTGATCATACAGGAAACATTAAGCTGAAAGTCCCTATTGCTAAGCAAGTATGTTTTTTTAATTAAATATAAATATTAAATCCAGTGTTGTATTAAGGAAAACATCATTTTTTTTTTGGTTTACCCACTGAAAGTATGATGATACATGGGTTTTAACGGTTGTGTACCCATTATTTTAGTAACAAAATTATCTGTAATTTTTAATTATCAGATATCAGGGGATTATAAAAAAATATTTTTATAATTAATGACCTTTTATAGAAGTATTAAATATGATGTCATTTTTCTGAATTCAAGTTTCTATAAATTGAAAGTACCATCAATAGGTGGGCCCTTTCCTTTCATGTTTTTCATTGGGATTTGATGGTTCTTGTTTGGAAACATACTACCTACAATAAATATCCACACAAGACTATTTCCAAAAGTATTAAGTACTTGTATTTGATAGTCATAATTATGGCTGCAAAAAAATAACTGTCGAACATGGTGTAAAAAATAATTTTTTTATTTATTATAAGGTTTTTAGTTTTTACAATTGTCACCTACCTGTTTGAAAAAGTCCATGAATATTGATATAGGTACCCATAAATATTTTTAGCAATACATGCCTGTATATAATAATGTGTAACATATTAAATGAATGTTATTTTTATTTACACAACTAAATTATCTGTTAATTAGGTTGGAACATCAGTTACATTGTCTAATTTATTTTCTTCATTACCCGTAAGACATAAAGAGTTTCATAGAAATTTAAAAAAAGAATTTGGAAAAATGATCCAAGTGGTGACTGGTTACTGTTTAGTTTCTACTCAAGTGAAGTAAATTAATATTTTAATGACTTTGGTTAGTTTTACAGGAATAACCTTTATTTTCATAGGTTATCGTGTGTTAATCAAACAAAATCTTTAAACAATGTTCTTCTATCAACACATGGTAGCAACACAGTATTAGAAAACATATCATGCATTTATGGTTCTAAACAGGTAAATTAATTAGGATCTGTTATGCTCGATCTTCTTTTATTGATTCAAATATTATTTTCAGGCTAACAGTTTGTTAGTTTTAAAAAAAGTCATTCCTGAAGATGAAGAAGATGATATATCAAATATTTTTGAACTAGATGGTTATATATCTAGTTGTGATCATAGTGGAGGAAGAAGTTCTAAGGACAGACAATTTTATTTCATAAATTCTAGACCCTGCGAGCCTTTAAAAGTACTCACATATTTTATTATTATAAATTTAAGTATTTTTGAAACATATTTTTATGGAAATTAAATATTACTTTTCATTTTGCTAATTAGTAGTGCCGCATTAAGACCAAGCAAAGCCTTTGGCGCAACGTTTTATTATGGCCTACTGTAAAAAAATAGCCGTCTCCTAAGGCCACTGTTAACTAGCTCTGGGCAAATGTGTACATTGCATATACATTAATCCGGTATTGCTGATTAATTCAACTAAATATTGTTATCCACATACTATCAGATTTTAACTAGAGAACTTATTTTTTCAATGGACTTTAAATTTAAAAAAAAAACACCAAATATAATTCAGCTTAAAATTAAAATAACGTACTTAATATACCTTTAATATACTATTTATTTCAATATTAGGTTATAAAAACAGTGAATGAAGTTTACCATCAATATAATCAAAATCAATATCCATTTGTCTACTTAAATATAACTATTGCAAAAGCTGAAGTAGACATTAATGTGACACCTGATAAAAGACAAATATTTTTGTCTAATGAAAATATCTTAGTTTCAATAATTAAAGTAAGTAATTCATATTTATAATTCAACTATTATAATTTATAATGTTTTACACTTAATTATGTAACCTGTTAATAAATACTGTGTTTAAATATAACTTCTATTACAAGGCCAGTTTAAATAGATTGTTTGAAAATATTCCATCTACTTATAAGATTAATACATTGTTGTATGAATCAATATCAGCTAAAAGGCCATATGAATCAACTACAGAAAGTAAAAATTGTAAAAGTAAGCAAGAAAACTATTTATATTTAATAGAAGAATTACATTTTATTTGTTTAATGGTATGTATAAAATAAGAAAAAAACAACACAATAGATTTTTATCCGTTTTGAATATTCATTTTTATAGAATTTTTGAAAAATAATAAATATTTTAAATATAGTTAAACAAACATATGTTTCTTAAAGTTAATTAAACGTGAAATCATATCATTAACACTATTGCTTTATTTGTAATTAAAAAATTGTAAAATACAAAAAATGTGTTGAGTTAATCAATAGACTTCAATAAATATTTATGTTAGAAAAAAACCACACAAGTATAAAATCTTCAAATGCTTATCAATACACTAGAGTCCATGGCTAAATATTATTAATTATTACTTAGTCATGCTATATACTTTAGAATATAAAAATGGCATCGAACAGGGGTTGCCATTGATTAGTTGATCTTAGAGAAGTATTGGCCGTTCATATCAAAGATTCTATCCCAATATCGGTTGATAATGTGTGTAATCTCAACATACTTTTACACATTACATACAAATAGTACATATTTTTTAGTTATGAAGGACGTACAATTTTCCAAAGGAGAAATAATAAAAAAGCATTATTAGGTATACAATTCATTATTATGCTGCATGTAATAATGCAAATGACACCAATACCACTTAAATAAATAGGAGTCGATCACAGGATACTTAACATTTTTAATGGAGCTCAAATGTTTTTATTGGTTGTCGATCCTTGCCCTAGAACATGATATTATAGTTCACATTTATTAATGTTGCCAATCTGCTTATTAATAGTGTTATATAAAATAATTTTAATTATTTCAGTTCTGAAGTTGGATAAAAATAATGAATATGAAAGTAAAGAAACACCTAATCATTCGGAACAAATTAAAGCTAAACTCATTAGATGGAAATCTGATAATTCTAAAGTAGCAACGGCTGTTTCAAGTACAATAGATAGATTTCTCACACAAAAAATTGAGCCTATTGATAATGTTCAAGAAAATCATACTGAGGAATTAATAGAAAATGAAATATCTACCAGTCTATTTTTAAGTACTGACACTTGTGACGCTATTGCAATCAATGATAAAGAGAAAAAAACAGATGAATTTCTACAAGAAAGCATTGAAAATTATAAAACTAAATCCACTTATATTAATAATTCAAAAAGCAAGAATATTGAATTAACTGAATATTCTGTTGATGATTCTAATAGTGAAAATATGGATGACAATAAATTTTCTTTAAAAATTGTTACTGAAAAATCTGATTCTATTGTAGACATTAAATGTGATTCAATACATAAGAATGAAGTTAAAAATGTATATGTTAAAGATATCAATACTAATACTAATTGTGATTCATCAAAAATAAACCCAAGTGCTAGTATAGAAATAGACACTTCTATAGCACCCAAAGGAAGAAAATTTGCAGTAGTTGAAACTAACCTTGAACAAATTCGACAAAGGTTGAGCAATTTAAAATTTCAAAAATCTGAAAAACAGAAAATAAAAACACGGTTCTATGCAACTATTGATCCAAATAAAAATCAACAAGCTGAGATTGAATTAAGTAGAGAGATTTCTAAAGATATGTTTTCTAGAGTAAGTAATAGTAAATTAATAACAAAAAGTTAATTAAGTACAGAATTTTCATTATTTTTTTACAGATGAGTATAATTGGCCAATTTAATTTGGGTTTTATCATTACCAAACTCGATGCTGATTTATTTATAGTTGATCAACATGCTACTGATGAAAAATATAACTTTGAAACATTACAAAATACAACTAAAATTACAAGCCAAAAATTAGTGGTGTTAGTAATGATTGTTAATAAAAACTAAAATTGTTACTAAATCAGAATTTTTTTAAACTGTACATAATATTTTACATGGAAATTTGAGTACATTTAAAATTGTGACTGACAATGAAAAAAACTCTTATTTTATTTTATAAATTTAATTTTTAATTTTTTTATAGACCTCAGCAGCTAGAGTTAACCGCTGTCAATGAAATTGTATTAATGGAAAATATTAATGTTTTTCAAATGAATGGATTTGATTTTCAGTTCCAACAAGATGGTAAGTTTTATTTATTCTTATTTTAAAACATGTTCATACTTATCACTTATCAAGTATATTATTTATTATATTTTAGCGGAACCAACAAAAAAAGTTAAATTAACTATGATTCCTATGAGTAAAAACTGGAGCTTTGGTAAAGAGGATGTAGATGAACTTTTGTTTATGTTACAAGTAAATAGTAATTTCAAATGAAATACAATTTAAAATAACAACTCTTCTTTTTTTGTAATAACTATTTTTAACATTATTTAGGATGCGCCTAATACTCTTTGTAGGCCTTCTAGAGTTCGCTCAATGTTTGCTTCTCGCGCTTGTCGTAAGTCTGTTATGATTGGTAAAGTATTAAACTTGGGTGATATGAGAAAACTTATTGACCACATGGGAGATATTGAACAACCTTGGGTAAGATAAACACAAACAATGTTTATATATATTGACCTCTTGTCAATATTTTCAATGGTGATTTATAATTTGAACTGGTTTGAGACTTTTTTGTTGTTTTAGAATTGCCCTCATGGAAGACCAACAATGAGACATTTAGTAAACCTTTCATTACTAAATGTTAATGCAAAATGAACCCAATATGTTCTTATGCAAATTATTTATTTACAAGTACATAAAAAATACAATGACAACAGGATCATAAAAATGTATAAAGCAAACAACATTGACAACAAATTAATTGTTTTTTTAATAATTTTTTTATTCTTAGATTTTTAAATAATATGGCTCTTATATTAATTTTATCAAAAAAATAATAAAATATATTATATAATATGCCATACAGAAATTAATAATTATTGTTTATTATTTAATAGATAGTTGGTTTTTAATGTATCGATCGAAAACAATATTTAAAAATGTAATTATACATCAATAATTATCATTAAATAATTTAAACACAATTTGTAGTTGATCATGTTACTTTTAACTTTATACTGGCTTAAACCATTTAGGTGTCTTCCCATTATTCGCTTTGCTTTTATTTTGTTGAGTAAAAACAGTCGTTTTAGTATTTTGATTTTCTAATTGTTTACTCGTCCCTGGTTGTTGTTCATCATGTATAGTTTCATTATTTGAAAAGTTTGAAATTCTTTCTTTTCTGTAATTATCAATTCATTTAAAATTAGTTTGTAAATACAAACATAAAGATAGAATAAATTATATTAAATTTTTAATAATATTTTAAAAACTACAATGCCATCATTTTTTAATTTTAACCACTATGTTATCTTATTTTGTATAATTTATAACTTTTCACAATTAATTTCATTGGTCTTCAAAACAAAAATCATAATAGACTGGTAAAAATGATAATTAATATTTTTAACCGAGAACTATATTCTTTGGATTTCATTAAAATAATTGTTTTTTAAAGTTAATATAAAATCCAAAAATGAACGTTTTTAAAGTGTTAATACAACCATTTTATCTTAAAATTTGGTAGAATCTATAGTACTAAATTTATATAGTAGAAATCGGAGTTCTATTAGAATTCCATGAACACATCATGTAAGCAATACATTTTATAATAGTTGTACACTCTAAGACCAGTTTCACAGCCACAAGTACAACGTACATGAATATGTGTATGGTTTAAGTGTACGGGTAGATTATGGACTATAACGATAATACTAATTATAACTTATAGTTGAAACACTTGAAACAGATACTCAGCAATGACCATTTGGCAATGGCAGCCAAATGATTTTATCAAGGGAGGGGGGATATGATTGATTTTTTTAACATGCACTATTTGATTATTAAACATATAAATTATGGTAATCAGATCTTAAATATTGAAAAACACATCATGGGGGATCTATCCCCTTCCACCCGTTTGATCTCCACTGCCATTTGGTAATAATGCGGTATAATATACAATATTAAATTATAGTTATAAATGCTAACAATATATTAAACAACTTTTAGTATCAGGGTATTATTTAATACCTTCTCCCGGAAAATTTAATTTATGCCATTGGTTACATAACATTAACAACCAACCTCACTAGATAAGCAGCTATTGAAGCTTGACACCCTGACACAATTTTATGTTTGAGCTCAGGTTTTAATTGATCGATTTCCGTACTACATGAAAAATGTATCATTGCCGATGGTACACATCCACATTCCAATAAAGTATCTTCAGGTTTCAAAATAGTTTTAGGAGGTGTTGTAACTGTTAAAATGAAATCATTAGAAATTAATTGCTTTTAAATTGAATGTGTAGTATCTATTACTAGATTAATACATTTAAAAATTCAATTGGCTCTTACATAAACAAAAATCTAAAGACTCATCAATGAGATATTTTCGAATGAAATTAATTATATCCAATACGGTTTCAGTTGATTTGAATATGGTTTGTAGTACTAATCTGTTTGGAAAATGTATTCTAATAATACACTTTTTGTATTTATGTAATAAATTTAGTTGATTTTGAGTCTTTTCTAATTCCCGCATTGCACTTGTACACAGTTGGCCATCTTCAAATTGAGCCCTAAAATAAAAATAAATATAGTCTTAAAATTCTATGCATAACTAGTTTATTTTTTAAATTTTGCATGTATTTAAAAAAAATTTTATTTTCATTAATTTTGGTATGTCAATTGGTAATAGCACGGTGTTACACAATTTTCACATTGTTTAATTATTGAATGCTATTGATTGTATTGAATAATGAATAGTTATAACTTATAACTATCATATATTTATAAATATGACCAATTATTTTCAAAACTATTAAGCTAACATAATATTATTCAGATACCTCACACTGTTAATTAAACAGAATAGTGTGAAATATTGAACAACTAAATATAAAAATTGTCCAAATAGTTACATATAGTACTTTATGAAACAGTACACTAAAATAATTGACAGAAACAAGATCTAGTTCATAAGTACTATTTTATAAATATATAAACGATACAGTGAAACTTCCATACAATGAAGTATCATGGGAATAAAAATAGTTTGTAATATAGAGAAATTTGGTAAATAATAATATAGTTATAAATTATTTTTTCATTTAATTAATTGCATATACATTCGTATTTTATGAAGTATCATAAAAAAGCACAAAATTCACAGGTATACCTACTTTTTTAAGACTTATTTCAAACGTATTTAATTTATTTTTAATCTCAATTTAAAAGAATAATCTGTGATTTTCTTATTAACAATTGATAAACATTTATGTTGCAGCATTTTTTTTGTATGTATAGGAAAATGACAGCATAATTTATTGTTAACGACGTCATTATTGGAACAGCAACACTGCAGTAAGATTAGCTGACTTGATTTCCAATGCCTTATTTTATTTTATCGAATATCATACAATTGTAGGTATTTTAGAACGATATACTTAATATATAATAGTAATTACATTAAAAAAACAAGCTTGTTTTCGAATAGTCTATTTGTTACATTTAAACATCAGACTTGTAATAAAGAGATAAATTTACAAATGATTAATAATGAAGACAGTTCTTACAAATATTTCTTTAAATAGAAGTTTCACTGTATATTATATTCAACACAAAAAAATGTATTTCATTCATATAGAAACTTTAAAAATTTTAATTAAATATCGCACAGATACAATATTTTATATAGTGAAAATTGCCTTTAGCCTGTTGAATATCCAAATCTAAAGATTTTAAAATAAATATGATTCTACTTAAGTATTTATTGTTTTTAGAAAGATGTTATATCCACATACATTGTCTCCGCCTTACCAACCCATGACATAGAAAATTTTTAACTCAGAAGAATTTGTTTTACTCGGATATTTTTTATATTAATGTGAATTTACAAATATATTATTACTATTATCAAATGTTAAGATAAGAATATTATCTAGGCACACAAATGATTTTTTTAATGATCTAATTTTGAAAAAAGTTATGAGCATTTTAAAAAGGATTCCTCAGGAAGATAAATTTTCATTGTTGTGCGTTAGTAAGACTAAAACAACACACGTGGGTATAACCTACTCTTAATGTTACTAATTATTATCTATACAATTTACCGTGAATTTTTCAAATCTCGTAGTACAAGAGTTATATCTTTTACAGTTGGTTTAAAGAAATCATCACCTTCGTCTTGATATAACACTGAAGTACCATCCATAATGTCAAATAACAAAGTGTCGCGTTCATCTAACTAAAATAAATGTTAAATATTAATTAATTTTAAATACTAACTTAATAATAATAACATTTTTTAGCACATATTTTAATAAAATAAATAATTTTTTTTATATAACTAATAACCAGGGCTCGTAAGTTCATACACTATAAAATGCATAAATAAATATCCATTCATGCACTAAACAGTGGCAAAATATGCATTTATGTACACTTAAAACTTGCATAGTATAAAAAAATCATAATCAGATTTTGAAATAATAAAATACATCCATTTTTTTATCCAAATTCAATTTCTTTTAATTTGTATGCATTTTAAAACACTCAAAAACTTAACTTTACAGATCAACACTTTGTTGTCATTATTATATTATTAGTATTAAATCTGTGGTAAATTAAATACCTGTGGTCGTACGAGAATAAAAAAAAATCTAAACAAATATTTCAATGTTGTAAATTGGAAAGTAAATAAGAAGCAAAAGAAAAAACTTCAAATATTTATCTGTTTAAACATATTTTTTTATGAAAAAGTATGCGCTAATAACTCTACAAATTTACTATACCCCAAATATGCCTTTACACCCAAAATACGCAAAAACGTACAATATTAAACTTTATATATTTATTACTATTGTTATGAAACAAATTTGTATTTTAGTTAACATGTTTGCCGGTGTTGCAAGAAAAACATGCAAATGCTTGAACTTATAAGCCCTGCTAATAATTATTACATAATATTATTGTATTTTACTATGAAAATGCTAATTCGTTTTTTATTTTTGCATTTTTTTGTGTTAGGTTTCAAATACAGTAAGTCACAATGACAGTGGCATACTTACTGAGGGGAGGGATAAAACCCCTCGGAAATTTTCAGAAATAATTTTTACTTTTGAGATATATTTATTTGTTCAGTAAAAATCATAAACATCCTTAAAAGTCAGTTCTAAGTATGCCACTGCTAAATTAATTAAATTTCAAAGGGTGGTAAACAAATTTGATTATGTATTTTTTGAATTGTATGACTTAAATTTAATTTATAAATATAAACTAAATATAAACTATAAATGACAAGAAAACAATTTGGGTTATTGCGACCAACTATATTAAAAAGGTCCCCACAAAATGCTTTTGTAAAATTCTTGTGTCTTGGAGGTGGTAGTAAATTTTTTGCTACCGCTACTGCTGCAGTGTTGGGATCTTAATAGTAATAGTTAATACACTATAATAAACCTCTATAGGGTATAGAGATATAAATTAATATATAAACAGTTGTATACATAAGTAGATTAACTGTTTGCAGTAATAATAGTAAAATTCAAAATAATATAAATAAAAGTGGTTAAATAATTACTAACATAAGATATAGAGTTCTTGAAGTTATTGAGATCTTCATCAGTAAGAGTAGGCTTTTTGTTATTGTCTATTGCTTTAGAATCATTATCAATGTTGTTTTGATATGTTGACATATTTATAGGCCCAGTTTTTTCAACTATATCATCAGTACTTGGTTCAATGTCCATGGACTCTTGTGGATTTGTTGCCACAACCTTTGCAGATTCAACACTTGCTAATTCATTTGTGTTTGTTTCTCTATGGCCTACAGATCTGGGAGGTTCTTCAAGTTTTGGTTTTCTTGCTGCAGGTACATATACATGAGCTTGGTCTTCAGATTCTTTTTTATTAAGTAATCTATTTAATCAAAATACATGTTTTAAGTAAATATTGAAAGTTAAAATTGATCTTAATAACCAACAAAACAATGTAGACAAATATAAATACATTTAAAAAAAATATTTGAAACAATTACATTTGAGATAATAATATATAGTTAATTATGGAGCCAATTACTTAACAGTTAACATATTCACTGTAGGTACTGCACATTTTTTCCTGTAATTAACTATTATAAATGTTACTAAGAAGGCCAGAATAATGCTCAATGAACTAGTGACAAATATTTGTTGACTTGTTGTAAATATTAGAATACAGTGAATATGTTAGATAATTGGTTTTTTTACTAACCTTAACAAGGCTTTGCCACTAACTAGTCCAATGTCTTTTAATGTTTTCTGCTGCAATTGCTCTTTACCAATTATTTCCATTCTAGTATAAATTATAGCTGGACTTTCATAATTAGAAAAATTGTCCTTCAACAATATCTGTATGATTTCCCAAAGATTTTCTTATCAAAAATAATAAAACTATATAGTAAAAAATATGTAAATTGTAATAAATAGATAACATTTTCAATATAACTTACGACTAGATGGAAATTCGCCAGATAATCTAGATCCATCTTCTATTTGTAACCATACACCAACAGAGCTATCTTGTCTAGACTTTGTAGCAGGTACTAATTCCAATAAGGCATTATTGGCAATATTTGTAAACCTGATCAGACTAGTTGTATCTAATATTTTGTTGTGATACCTATTAAATAAAGCGACAGACAAACAAACATAGAACAAAGTTTTACGATTAGGTAATTAAAAATGAAAAGAAAAGGAAATAGTTACTTTAAATCAAAATCGTTGCTGTTTGCCTTCATTTTTGTGCAGGCTAATTCTATTACCTATAACAATTAAATATATTTATAAAGAGTTGTATGAAGATCAAGTAATGTAAGGTACTTGCTTTAAGAACAGTCATATTAGGATTGACTTTCACATTTATTCTAGCAGCATTTTCACCCAATACTACTAAATTTGTGGCCATATTTATATTAACAGACAACAGTAGTGATACAATTAAATTTAACTGAATGCTATTGAGAAAAGAAACACTGTATATAGTATTTATATAGATAATTTACACATTAATATTTCATTTGTGAATTGAGAACAGATTATTGATTAATATAATGAATTATTAATATCATTTATTTACTGTTCAAAAATAAATTATACACCTTGGTACTAGGTAGAAGATACTATACACTTCAAGATTTTATCCAAGTTTAAAGTATTGTATTTTGTAACTTAAAAGTACACGGAGAAAAAAAATTAAGATAAAAAAGCATGAAAATATGAAAATAATGAACTATTAAGTACGAACTATCATGCATACAGTAGCAACCACTAAACTACTGTGATAACTGATAACTGATAAATGATAACTGGTAATGTCCTTCGTCATTCAAATTTCGAATAGGTTCCAAAACCCATAGAATATTGTATAACACTATAGTCTATAGCCTATGGGCTATGACGTGATTATATGAGCAAAATGTATAAAGAAAACAGAGATGTTAAAAAAAATTGAGATAGACTATTATTATTCTACTCTGTGTTATTAATGTTATTATAATAATCATGATTCAAGAATCTTCATGATACATTGAATGTTAAGCCATCAAGCCAACATTCAATACAAACCATAACTATCAATTAACATATTAATCTATCCTGATGAGTGATGACCGTTCATGTCTTAGAGAAATTTAATAAAACTATAGTTCACATTTATTTACATTTTGTGTATGGCATATCGTGGTTTAATTATTTAAGTTATAATTATTTTAATAATGGTCTTTTGTGCAGAAGTGGTGTTATTGTTCTGTGATGGTGCAAACGGTCGATGGGCATCGGTGACTTTTCAGCACGGATTAATACACTATACGTCCATACCTAATATATTAATCCGTGCTTTTCAGGACGGTGCTTTAATAATTAACTTAGATCAGAATTAGATTATATATTAATTAATATGGCTTATCAGATATTGAGATATCACTCTTCGCACGCATCGGCAGATAAAACTAAACAATATAAAAATTAACAGATATAACCACAGATATATAAAAAATTTTATATATCTGTGGATAAAACTATATACGTATTTTACATCCTGGTGAATAGTGAATATTGGATAATATTTAATATTTACTATTTATACTTAGTTACCTTAACCATATAATAAAAATGTAAATGTGGATACCAGCAAGCCGGGGTCCGGTCCTAAAATGTTAATAGACGAGAAGAAAACGACCTATTATTAATTATTATCAGTTATTGTTTACAGTTTACTATCTATTAATTTATATTACAATTAATTAATTAAAGAAATATTTATGTTTATACACATTTTTTCTAATTAATCAGTATATTTTTGAAATTTATATTAGTTGTATCTAAATTTAAGTTAAATATTTTAGTTTTTTTGTTGCTCATTTAAAAATTTTAATCATTTGACTTATGAGATTATATTCACGTTGGAGTTTCCTGCATACCTGGTAATAGATTTTTTGAAAACAATTTATTATTCATTATTAAAAAAAATTATTCCTTACATAAAATGTTGATGATCTATGTTTGATTTATATTTTGATTTGCTGGTGAGTGATGATGTTATATTTAATAATATATATTTCATATACATTACTCATCAGAGTATTTGGTTCAAAATATCCTTATAAATTAGCTATTAAACTTATTATATATTAAACTAACTTTGTGGTATTATTGATTATGCGCTGCATGTGTTATGGTTGCAATTGGTCAATTTCCATAACACATATTCATTCTTCAATTTCATAATAAGGTAGCACTACCATAAGCAAAACTATAATAGAAAATACATGGACAATTTTATTAGGACAGGCTAAATGAAAAATATGAAAAAAAAACTTCTAATTTAAAAATAATTTTTTATTCTTTTAAGTTAGTACCTATGTTATCTAGTTATGACTGGCCTGACCTGTACTATAAGTACTACCATTTGTTATAATTAATTTATTAAATATACATACCTATATGAAAATAATACACATCTAATAACAATTATTATTACTATTTTTTAAATTTTTTTTTGGATGCACCATTGTCAAGAACCAACATTTGTTTACTTTAAACAAATCGAATAAGTAAGTAATTCAATAAATTTGAAAATTATGATTCTTTGGTTCATATGCATGCAATCCACTATTTGAACTAAAAATCTATGAATATAATTTCTAATTAGATACCATCTACCTACCTATTGGAATTAATTAAAATTTACTTACACTATTGTCCGTTAAATTATTTAATCAAATCATTAATTTTATACCTATTAATATTCATTAATTGCCTATAATAATATTTATTGCTGCCGTAAATTATTGTCATTAAATTGTGGACCTATGTTTTATAAATGCATAATCAATATATTAATATAAATATATTTGAAATATTTACTACCTTATTAAATTCATATAAATTATTACCATTATCATGTATCATTCAATAACAGCAAAGTTGGTAAAATATTCTTATTACCTACTTTTCTAAATCTAAAATCTGCATGCCTATATTATTTTATTTTTCACCCTGATCTGGCATTAGGTTAGTACATAATTTAACAATATTTATGAGCAGATAATTAATGATGTCCGAGATTAAGTTTGGTTAAGGTAACATAACATTCGGTGAAGTGATCTATTGTACCAATACTATATTAGACGCGTCAAAATGGAAAATAAAGAATTTTTTCTCGTAGAGTAGAAATTAACATAGAAAGAGACAGAGTCTAATAAAACTGTTAAATCTGTGGCATCAAGAGTGCGATTAAAAATTTAGAAAATGAATGCCTAGAATTGAGCATAATATGCATAATTGAGTATAGTCAAATGAAGGATGTTAAATTTTTAATTTGAAAAGCAAGAAAGTTGTTTTGAACTTGATCAATGTGCAGTTAGTCACCATACCAAACACAAATAATGAAGGCAGAGACAGTTTTAAATATTTTATAAAAATATATGAAGAGTCATATACATTGGTCTTGATTTAGAACTAAAATTGTAATTTGTATTGGGCAAAATAAAAAATATAAACCAATTTAGTGTCATAACATTAATACATATTATTTATTTTTCTTACAATAAAAACAATACACATGAATTAAATAAAATGTCTTGTATTTGATTAAAATATTTGTTTTCCTTAATAACTATTTTCGATGCTTTTCAGAGCCATTTCAAGTTCAAATAAATGTTTATCATCTTCTTCAGGAGCTATCCGTCTCATTTCTGCTGCTAATTTATGTACATATTCTGGATTTGATCCACTGGTTCCACGGCACACTGCTATTCTAGAAGCTATTTGTTGAATAGATGCTTCACCAGCAAACCACTCATTGTTTTCATCTGCTATATACACTGTGACTTCAGATGGTATTTGATCTTCATTTGTTTTTGTATGAAATTGGATAACTTTCTTAGTATAACCTGCACGTTCACGTAGGTCCAACCCTGCACATACATTATCTATATCTCGATTGTCAATCCCATATGCTATCCCCCATACTCGACTCTAAAATCACATTATATCGCAAATATTAGGTTTTGGACGAAGTACCTAAATGAGATAGGGATCATGTTATATCAATGGTATTATATGCTTATAAAATATATGTGAACATTGTTTGTTATTTCCCTGCCACCGAGCCATATAAAATAATTACCCTGCTACTAGATGACCTTATGTCAGCAGATTTTAAGAGGACCCTATACCCACCCTACATACTCCTAACATAGCAAATTGTTTGTTCTAAAATATCCAATTAACTTAAATTATGTTTAATATTAGAGTGAATTGAACTATTATCAATTTTAAAAAAGATAATCATTTAAAAATTTTACAAATGCACCTGCTGGTGTAGTATCTTCTTAATCTTAAAATACATTATTCATGATCAATATTTCTCTGCATTTTAATATCTTACTTGTAGTTACGTATAGTATGTGATTTATTCAAGGAAAAAGTTCTTATAGTATTTGAAATTGATTTTTTTGTATTATATTCAAGTTAGTAATAACTAATAATCAAGCCTAGGCAAGTTAATGATAATTTTTAACTGAGTTAAGTTAAGTCTATATATAAAACATTTTTAAAAGTTTAAAGTTAATAGTCATCATAATTTATTTATTAGACTCAGTTAAGTTAAAAGTTATATTACAACTTACAATTAACTTATTAATTAAGTTTTTAATTACATTTTTTTAATATATAAATAGTCAGAAATAACCAGTAATATGGCTTAAAATAATAAAAAGTAAATGTTTATGCAATATGCATCATCAATAATAATTGTATTTATTATTTAGTGATTTATAAATTAAATTATTGAAAATTAAATTTTAAAATGTTAAAATTAACTTAACTTTAACTTTTTTACTCATTTATGCCAAGACTTGGTTATAATCACATTAAAAGATAGATATTATGTAATACTCAATATTTTGTCAGCATATCGCTATATTGTATAATGTTTACGTATTTTCAAGTGTGTTATTAATAAGTTAATAATGTTTATTTAATAATTATTGGCTTATTTTTAAATATTGTCCAAAAGTTATTTGGATGAGTAATTTTTCTCTTAGTATTTTAAACTGGCAATCAATTTTAACAGCAAATGTACTTGCTATTATTGTTAACTTTTATTTGAAATTAAAATTTTGATATTTTTCTAATAGTATATCCATTGATATTTTTCTAATAGTATATCCATTGATATTATATAATAATTTATATTTATGTCCACTGATAAGTTTGCTTTAGCGCGGTGGCGATTACAAAAGACTAATAAGCAACATATAGTTATATAAGCATATATACCTAAACTATAGACAGTAAAATATGCTCAACTTACTTCATTAGTTGATGGTAAAAGAGTCACTACTCGTCCAGGCTGAAATTTATTAAGAATGTTTAAAATAATTAGTATGAACATTAGTTTTACATAGTGATGATCCAAACTGTTTGATTTTAAATCGATCTATTGAAATAAAAATTTGAGTTTAGTTTGTTGAAAAACCATAAAAAAAACTATTCATAATATTATCATTATTATACAATTGTTTAAAGGTACCTAATTAATAATTTGTTTTTTGAATAGTAAAAATGTTTTCCTGTAAAAAATGTGAGTTTAATTTGGGTTTGTTAAAAATAAAAGTTTAGTTTCTGTTTGGATCAACCTTAAAAATCAGGGTTCATAATCTCACTAATTTTAAAAATTACCATATTAATAATTACAAATTTACCATATTAATTATTAAAAAACAACATTTTTATGATCTTACTAAGTCATTGGTCCCTCTATGATCTGGGCTAAACTGATAAAACCGCCTGGTGTATCCTTTTATGTATCCGGGGTATTTTTTTATGAATGGAAAATTAGTTTTCCATACCAATGAGCCGTAACCGAATATCCAAAACATATGGTTTTTTAACCCATTACTTAAATTGTTGTCGTTTAGGTGGCTGTTTTCTGATTTATCTGGTTTCATTCTTGAAATGCTATAAATTTTTTTTAATGGGAATAAAATTTCCTACGTAGACAAGAAAATGTAGTATGTCTACATCTATTGTTTATAATATGATAACATTTTGATAGGGTTTCTAAGGATTGGTTGACAAATAGAACAAAAATAATCAATATCTGTAATGCATTACACTTTTCAACAAATAGATGGCGTTGTTGAACTTTAAGTAACAGCTCACTTGAAAATTATTTTTATTAAAAGCTCCAACATTTAAAACATTCTTTATAAGAACTTGTATTCGTGTAATCTTAAAATAATATATTAGTCATTACTATTATACTATAATAAATGTAAGTATTTACTTTTTATAATATTTAATATTATAATATGCTATACAATTTAAAATAAATATGTCTATAAAATAAAATAAAGATAAATAAAATTAGTAATTAATTATAATAATTATGAAGTTATAAAAGAAAAAAAATCAGAAAATCAAAATCATGGAAATAATAAATATTTTTATAATTCATTAATTAAAAAATGAAATTATTTGATATCTTAATTTTTAAGTCTTTTGGAAATAAAGTTACTAGTTATATTATCTTGTTTGGAAAAAATTTTAACTATTAAATTTGTTCATTGAAGATTTTTTGTAAAAAAATTATATTTGATTGTGAAGAGTTCTTAAATATTGCTTCAGACACTTCAGTTATAAACTTATAAAGTTCAATAATTGTTTGCTTATGTGTATTTTACTTTTCTTGTACTGGTTCTTATTAGGTAGCTATTACTACCCAGACTTTTAGAAATGATATGTTCTCAAAATTTTGTCATTTACCAAATAATTAATCTAATGTGGTTCATTTTAAAAATTTATATTAATTCAATTTCCTTTTTATGAAATTATTATAGTTAAGGTTATACAATTTAGTCAAGGAAAATATAAAGTTATTCATTTATGTTTTTCAAAAATATTTTTAGTGGGTACCTATTAGAGCTTTCCAATATTAAAAAAATAATATAGTATCAATGTTTTACAATGTACCCAATGAATTTCAGATAACCTATCTAATTTTAAGAATTGATTAAGTATTAATAAGATATACGAGATTATATTTCAGTTGCATTATTAATACATTATATCATGATTATTATTTATCTTAGATAATTAGACGATAAAAAAAGTTTTACATAGTAATACTACTTTCCTCATACGTTTTTATAATTATGGTTTAAAAATATTTTTGATACATATGCACATTTTTTTTTTTTATAAGCAATTAAAACTTTGATCAAATTCTTCAAAACCACAAAAATCAGCAAATTATTTTGCAGTTAAAAATCTATAAGATTTTCAATTTGTATACCTAACAATTTAAAATTTAAAACAAAGCTTCTCATTAGTAGCTACTATTGTAACCAAATAATCTAAGAAATGTATATAAACATAGTTTTTCTTTATAGATATCAAGTTAAAATTTGTACAAAATTAGTAACGAAGAATATCAATTTCAGTTATTTTGTTGGAATACAAAAATATTATTTGCGGGTAGTTACTTGAAGAAGAATCTATAGTATTATCAAATGAAATATAAGATAAATTACTTTGATGAAATAATATCATAAAATATACTTGTAGTCAAGGGCGTATTTAGAAATGAATAATGGTTGGAAGGGAGTGTATATTTCTAAACTGTGATTATTTATTTGGTTTTTTAAGTGTATTAATTATATGATTACATATGTGGTGTATTTTTGTGCGCCCTCTCCAAAAATACACCACATATGTAATCATACAATTAATACACTTAAAAAACCAAATAAATAATCACAGTTTAGAAAAATACACTTTCTTCAACAATAGGTTTAATATAGTGACTAAACTCATCTGTAGTTACTAGTTAGAAGTTACTATAGTATTAGTAAAATAAGATGATAAACCATCTGCACAAAATGGTTTTTCTTGTACAATGATTTTATATCATTGAATTTGAATGTAACTCATCCATATCAGTGTCCTACCCGACTCCTGCAGTTCAACAAAACAATACCCACTTGCCCACCATTTTTAAGTTTGGATATCAATATGTAGTATTTTACTTTAAAACATTTTAAATTTGCAGGTACTTTTACATCTACATAATAATGACAATGGAACGATTAGAAGTATTACCATTACACCGAAACAAACACCTCATCAAACAATGTTGTGCTGTAATTAATTCCGAATGGCCACGCAGTGAAATGGCCAGGTATTTATTTAAGCCTATAATAACTTACCGAGTTTTCTAATGTCTATTATTAATTTGTAATTAAAATATAATGATACTTAAGGTTTAATACAACTTAAATTACCTATTTAGGTAGTTTTGAAAATTTTTTAAAAAAAATTAAGTTTTCAGTAATTAGTTATAATGTTATAGTTTATAATGTTCATTATTTTGTGAAAAGCAAACAAATTTAAAGTAAAATATTATGATTGCTTTAATTATCGATTACTATTTAATTTTCTACTCCCTTAAACTTAACTCATTAGTCTAAATTGTAGTGTGATTAGGTGACATTTTTAAAAATATTTTTTGAATTATTATATTTGAAAATAATTTGTTAATCATGCTCCACAGTCAATAATGTGATGATTGATTTTTATATTTTAATAAAGGTATCAAAGATTTGTTAATCTAAAAATGGAAACATCTAATATTGATAGTATTATAGTAGATTTGATGGTACTATAGTAGATTTGATTTTCTATGTCGAAATCCTCAATATAGCCACAGAATAGAATAATAGCATTAAAATAGATACAAAGTTTAAGTGACCTTCGGTTAATTGCAAACCATATTTGATTTTTCGATATAACATTATTGAAAAAGTTTGCTCACAAATATATGTGTTTCCACTTTCAAATCACTATCGACATTTTTTTGGCAAAATATTATATTTTCCTAAGTTTTTTTTTACAAAGACTTGAATAAAACTAAATTAAGTTACGGCCCTCACGAAAAGCGGTTTTAAGAATTTTTATCAACAAAGATTACGTGGTGTATAATATTTTTATACTAATTGTAAATTGTTATCGCTTGCCTCATAAAATTTCTACACAGACCGCGGATTGTCTACCCCTGATTTAATGTATCCAATGTAGCTTATTAAACCATGTTTAAGAAATTTTGAATCAAATAGTTCGCTATTGTTTCATTAAATGTTAGTGATTTGATATGCAACTTGGCATATTTCATGTACATTTATTGATGTTAATGAATTATATTTCATGTAAATTCATTGATGTTAATGAATTTGTGTCTGTTGTTTAGATTACACAGTTTGGAGGCATCTTGTGATACTTTGCCAACATCTTTGATATTGGTTAAAGAAGAAGAAGATAACTTCAAGACAGTTATAGGACATTCAAAAATTACGCCAATACCGTCTATACCTGATGGTGGTTTCATCGAAACAGGTAAATATTTTACTGTTAGGTTCTTAGCTATAGGTGCTTATAAATAATAAATTACATTCTGAAAAATTAAAAGAAAGAGAATTGTGTTTAAGGTACTTAAGCTACTTACTTTTTAGGTACTCTAACCTAAATATCCAATGTTTGATATGCTTGTGTTGACTTTTACCACCTTCAAATAAAAGTACCTACATAATTTTTCTAATAGATATGAAATTTTTTATTATTTTAGTGGTCATAGGAAATTGTCACCGAAGACAAGGACTAGGAAAATATCTTATGTACAAGACTGAAGAGTACATAAAAACGTAATAATCAGAAAAATACTGAATAAAATACTACATACTTGAAATTATATTTAAATTTAAAATAATTTTTATAGGTTGGGTTTAAATTTTGCATACTTGTCTACAATTGACAAACAAGAGTTTTACTCAAAACTTGGATACATTCAATGTCAGCCAATTTCAATTTATGGTGGCTGTTTGAGTAGCATCAATAAATCAAACATGGTTTCTGTGATTGTGCCATCTAGAAAAACATACATGAGAAAACTTTTGACATGAACTGTTTTTTTTAAATTATTTTTTTTATGTTATAAATTACTAACAAGGAATACATACCATTGTTATAATCGTGTATCTAGTGCAAATTTCAGTTAACACTTGCTAACAGCTTTAAGAATAATATTAACTCTAATATTAATTAATGTATGTATACATTATCAGTGTTGGGTAGTAACGTAACACAAATTACAAATTACTGTAACAAAACGGCTTTTACTTTTAGCCAGGTCGAAAAGCCAGCTCAAAAGCAACAAATTATTGAGGGTAAGGGGCATACCAAATTTCTTCTTGCCAGAAGCTCTACAATTGCTGTGTCCAGCTCTGGTAACACTGAAGTGATTTCATTATATTTTATTTAAATAGATGTAATTGTTATAAAATTACATTATAAAACTGATTCCGAATGATGTGTTATTTTCTACACTATTAAAAAAGTTATGAATGTAGAATGTCTAAAAAAAACCTGGGTGCTAGGATATTTGAGAAGAATTAAAAGCCTATTAAATTTATTTATGATTCCGAAAGAGCTAAAGCTTTAGATAATAATCAACAGTGTTATTAAAAATCCCAGGAATTAATACTTATTGTGTTCATGTTACAATGTACTTTTTTATCTTCATTGTTATATATGTACTGGTTGATGTAGAGTTTATATAATAGTATAATACTTTAACGTATAATAATTATACGTTTACTTAATACTTATTAGGTACTCCTGAATAGACATTAAACATTTTAGACTGATCTAGAAATGTTATTTGTAACACTTTATTTTTTGAATGAAAAAATAACGTAACTAACATGATAAAATTAATGTCGAGTTACGTGACTTTAATTTAAATATAACTATCTAATGCAACGAATTACGTGATTGTTTTACTTTTCAAAAGTAATTTAGCTAGCATTGTAAATATTAATCATAAGCGTGTAAAATATTACATTATATACAAATTAATTGAGTCAACGTGATATACTAATATAAGCACTAAGGATATTTTAAGAGTAATTAACCACCTAACATGATTTCAAATTATAAAATTCTTGTTTGAGGGAAAAACTAACATGAATTATAAAAAATAATATGGTATTTACTAAATCATAATAATAGTGTAATAATAACATTTCGCAAATTGAAAATTTTATATGACGTTTTATACGTATAACTTACAATTTACGAACTTATGAAATAATAATTATTAAAAGTCTATATTATTTTTATCTCTACGAGTTGTTTCGGCCGGCGTTGACTGAGTCAAATATCTGTACCATGTTTCAATATTATTATAATAGTAATATAATATTATGTTATCAATGCAAACCTATAAAAAAATAAAAATAAATTCTTTTTTTGAGCTGAAAGACTATAAACATTTAAGTTCTTCCAAGTCTCAACTCTCAAGGTGTTCACGCCGCCGTCACCGCCGCACTCACAAGTATACTAATAACCAACACACTAAGGGAAGAATATACTAAGTTTAAGTCCGAGTACATACATCTAGGACACATGCAAGAGGTACTGAAGGAAAGCAGCATCTCAGAAAAAATATGGTACCTGCCACATCATGCGGTTATCAAGTCATCAAGTTTAACTACGAAGGTGAGAGTAGTATTCAATGCATCTGCAAAGGGAAACTAATGGGTTAGCTCTCAATGACGTGCTCATGAGTGGACAAACGATACAAGAAGATGAGTTTTCAATCTTAGTTCGGTTTAGAAGGTACCAATATGCGTTGATGTCCGACGAAGAAAAAATGTTCTGACAAGTATCCGTTTGCAAGAGAAGACTGGGAAGAAGACCTTCAACGAATATTATGGAGATCAAATCCTACAGAGCCATTGCGCACTTATCATCTAACTACAGTGACGTATGGCACTGCGCCAGCCTCATTCCTAGCTACAAAATGTTTAGCTGTACTAGGAGAAGAGTCAAGGACACAGTTTCCAGAGGCATCCAAGGCTATACAAAACGACTTTTACATGGACGATCTCATACCGGGAGCAGACACTGAAGAAGGGTGTTGTCGACTACAAGGGGAAATAAGCAGTAACATGGAGTCTGCCAAACTGCCCCTAAGGAAATGGTGTTCAAACTCGAAGCCATTATTGCAACATTTAGGAAAAAGTGAAGAAGATCCATTAAGTACATTGAAGGTCAAAGATGGGGAGACCATCAATCTAGAGCTAGAATGGCAACCAGTTATGGATCACTTTCAGTTCACAACAAGTAAAATACAAACCCGTAATAAGTTCACCAAGAGTACGCTACTATCAGATCTAAACAGAATATTTGATCCTCTTGGGTTAATTTCACCTATGATGTTGAAGGGTAAAATCTTGCAGCAATTATGGGCGATGCAAATGGACTGGGATAAGACACTGTCTCCAGACATATAAGGACGCTGGATGTTGTTTTCTAACGACCTAGAGCAACCCCAAAGGATTTCAATTCCGAGAAGGGTTCAACCAGAGATAAGCAATGAATGTCAGCTGCATGGATTCAGTGATGCCTCTCAAGAAGCCTGCGGTGCGTGCCTATATGTAAGGTCAAGAGGCCAGAGCGGAAGATGGCAAACAAGGCTTTTATGCTCCAAAACGAGAGTAGCACCACTCAAGGGTTCTACTATTCCACGCCAGGAGCTCTGTGGAGCACTGGTATTAGCTAGCTGAGTTAGCCAAGAAAGTGGCCGACTCGTGGTCATTGATTATAGTGGATTTCTGGTTCTAGATGGACTCTACTATCGTAATGGGTTGGTTGAATAGCCAACAGGTCCGTTAAACATACGTTGCCAATCGCGTAAGTCAGATATTAGAGATAAGTGAAGTTGGCATCATGTTGCAACAGGTGACAACCCTGCTGATTTAGCCTCAAGAGGTCTGAACCAAGTGAATTATCTATCTCAGAATCTTGGTGGAATGGGCCGCATTGGTTAAGTAAACCTGAAGATAAATGGAATCCATCGTCCGTATGTCTGTAGGAAGAAGAGTTACCAGAGCAACGAAAAATTAAGCTTGCTCTGGTGGCGTCAAGCCAATATACTGACTTGGTGTATATAAAATCAGATTGAAACCAGCTGGCACGCACCATGGCTTGGCTAGCATTTTTTTGTGGATTTTATGAAGGCTAAAAAGAATATCCAGGTGCCAAGTTACCTAACAGTTGCACATCTGAAGAAAGCAGAGACTATTATTTTTAAAAGAGTGCAGAACGAATGCTTTCCAAATGAAGTGATTGCGTTTGCGGACAGCAAATAAGTAGAACGTACAAGCAAGCTAAAGAGTTTATATCCCCTCATGCAAGACGGTATAATTCTAGTAGAAGGACCGCTATAAAACTCGGATACAAGCAACTCAAAAGACAATTGGCAGCAATCGTCAAAGAAGGATGGCAAAGGAAGGAATCGAATGGCGATTCAACCCACCATCGGGACCACATTTCGGTGGACTATGGGAAGCGGCGGTAAAGAGCGCAAAGTACCATTAGAAACGAATAATAGGTGAAACGAAGCTAACATTAGCGGAATTAAACTCACTAGTGTATCAAGTCGAAGCATGTTTTAACTCAAGCCCAATCACTGCATTAGGTACTGCCCCAGGTGAACCCTAAACTCTCACACCGGCTCACTTCCTGGTTGGAGGACCACTAAGCCTACCTCCAGAGCCCGATAGACTCACAGAAGCTCCAGGTGGATTAAGACGTTGGAAACGTGTGCAATACCTCTTCCAATTGTTCTGGCGAAAATGGTTTACCGAATACCTGCCACAATGCCAGGTGCGTGGCAAGTGGGTCAACTAAAGGCGACCATTGAAGTTAAATAATATAGTTATTATTAAGGAGGATAATCTTCTGCCGAAAAAATGGAGCTTAGGTCGAATAACGCAGGTTCATCCAGGCAGAGATGATGTAATAAGTGTCGTTACGGTCCGAACAGCAGCTGGTACAGAGATCATGAGACCCGCTGCGAAACTCTGTGCTGAATCAGACACGATTCTCGTTGGAAATTAGATTTTCAACGGGGGGGAGATGTTCGCGCCACCGTCACCGCCACACTCCCAAGTATACTAATTATACAAATCCAGCCACCGATCGACACACACACAACTTATCTGTTTTACTTATCTGTCTTAAATATGTTGTGTGAATTATATAACGATAGATTACGCCGCCAACGATTCGGTCCGTAAAAGGTTACCGCGGCCGCCGTTATCTACTTCACTTGTTCGTTGTACATAGTCAACGCCCTATAATAGATTATTCGCGGGCGCTTATCACCGTTAATTTATATTTTATATTGTTTTTTGGCTCAAATAGCCACAAGTATTACATTTTTTGTGGGCGCCAATTGTCACATTTATATTATTGTCAGGCGCAAAGCGTCACACGTATTATTGTTGTAATGCCCAAATCGTCACATTTTCATATACATCATTATTAATTACGACGCAAATACGCAATCTGGGTTATATTATTAATATTCAATTGTTGTGTGTCGACCTTATTATATAGGATAGGTGTGGCAGCTGACCATCCGTACACCGACAATTTGTGAGTTTTTCTATATTATTATTTATTTATTATTATTATTATTATCATCATCATCATCATCATTATCATCATCATCATCATCATTATATAAATATATATTATTGTTGAGTCAGTAAAACATACATTATAATTATTATTGTTGGGCCTGAAGGGCCATCCCTTATATTGTTGTGTATAATCTGTATAATAATACAAGTATATTACCAGCATCTGCGTGTTACCATTTTCTTCGAATGCCTATTGGCTATTGTCATCTAGTTATTAAGTTATACACACAACCCAAATACCTATACACACATACATACACCACCCACACACTAGCACTCACAGGTTTTGCTCGGCGACCCTGTCCACCTCCTGTCGAGTGCTATGTACATATATACACACCAAAACACACAGGTCGGTCGGTGAGTAGGGGTGTAAGTTAAATTAATTCGGTGACCGGGCAGCACGGCTTATCATAATTCGTACCCGGCCCGCAAACACAAGGAATCTATTGATTTAACTTTTATTGGAAACGGCTCAGTAGTTTTTATAGATTCGAATAAATTAACGCAGATTAAAAATATGTACCAAATATCAAAACTATAACATCCGATTAATTATAATATAATATAATGTGATATATATCATATATCTTTGGCAACTATATATACGTATTTATACTTATATACAAAAATCCCATGGAAAGAGGCCTTTAAGTTTTTCCCTAATTTCCCAATTTTTCGGCCAAATGTTCTCATTTTCTTTCCGTAAAAACCCTATATTTTACTTTGTATTATTACAAACATTTATAAAAACAAGTCCAGTCGTTCTTGATTGATGTTCGATGGATGCTCCACAGATTATATTGGAACTTAGTACTTACAATTATAACACCGATTTTTTTATGTAACAGAACGATTATTTAAACATACCTTTCAGCATTACCGAAATATTAGATGCTATATGTCAAACTGCAATGCAGTCCTAGACCACCGACGTACAGATGATATCCCATCATATAAACTCTTTTATTAAAAACCTCATCAACAATAGCTTAAATCAACTTCTCCAAATATACAATTTAATTTGGGAAAAGAGCCTGACTTATCCAGACTGTCGGTGAAATGCAGTTCTGGAATCCGTTCCCTAGACCAGAATAAAACTGTTTTAATTAATTTAATTACAGACCAATATCTCTTATAAGTTAAAAGTACAGAAAGCAAACTTTGGGAAAAAAAATGGTAAACAAACGTCTAATATGGTACCTCGAAACATATGAATTCATACAGTTCATACTAGTAGCATATTAGACGTTGAACGAGTGAGAAATGGAGCATAAATGGAATCATTTTCTTTTTTTTTTTTACTTTCTTAAATCTCTCAATTCAAGAAAAAGTCCATAACAATCTCTCCAAAATTTATCTCACAGAAAATGGTCTTCCCCAAGCATCGGTCCTCAGCGTATCATTGTACCTAATAGCCATGAAGCAGCCTTTCTAGCGAGTAAAAATATAATTATCATGTCATTACAACATTACTGGGCCTCTGACATATTGTATACCTATCAGCTATCGACTACCAACTACAAATTTTACCTTACTCCATCTATAGTTTAATGAAACAATGGTATACCAATACCTCCGGACCTCAGCCGGCATCAAGATATTGCTATCAGTAGGATACGAATATGACACTTTTGCTACATATTCCTTTCCAATAACGCTGAGATCATCCACCGATGTGCAATACATGTCAGGATGTCAAACACGCATCACAATAAAACACATCTTTATGTGTTATATTAAAATTAATTTTACCGTCATAAAATGTTATGGTGTATGGAAAATGTTAACACAAACATTCAGTGAAAATGTCATGTATCTATGGTCATTTTTTTTAGAGTTACACCAAAAACAGTGAGTTTTTTGCCAACGGCCAGTTCGACCAGTACGCCGGCCCCGGCATATTTACTGCGCTAAAAGAAACGCCTCGACCAGCCAGCAAAATCCGTTAGTCTGATTTTTCCTTTAGTTTCAAGTAAGGCACGCACGTATTGGTCTTAACGCCTGAACCCATGAATTCGACTTACGGTACCGTGCCTAATGAAGTTATTCGCACTTCAAAAACTAAGATTTTTACACCAACCCGTTTTCGAAAAAATCGATTTTCTTTTTTAGTGTAACTCTAAAAAATAACTATACATATTTACATGATAATTTTCACAGAATGTTTAAATTAGCAATTTTTATGCACTGTGAAATTTTAGAAATTTTACCACTTATTTTGAGCTATTTAATTAATTCATTTTATTTAGCTATTTTTTTTTTTACCTACTTATAGACATAAGAAATTTTCGCATTTTATTAATTTATTTTTAATTATATTGTCCATAAAAAAATGTTTATATATTATATGGTTAAAAAACGTATTAATTTAAAGCAAGGTTTCTCTTAAGTAGTTCTAATAGCAGTTCAGAAGCATTAAAGATCCAAAAGAACTTAATTTTTTGTAAGTATTAAAAGTTCAAATTTTGACAACATTTATATAAGTTTTGAACATTTTAAAATTATTTTGTAGTTAAAAAATTAAAAACTGTTCAATTTGTTTAGCTAACAACTAAAAATGTATAGCAGCAAGAATTCTCATAAATAATTCATACTTCAACTCACAGATCTAAAAAGTATATAAACAGTAATTTTTTATATACATTATAAGTTCAAATTTGGAAAAATTACATGACCAAGAATAATGGTTTTATTTTTTTTGTTTGCAATTTAAAAATATTATTCGTGGGTATATGACACTTTTAGAGCATATTGCATATTATTATACTTTATACTCATCACAAATATATAGGTACAATGACATTTTCAAATGTAACTTTTTAGCCAAAAATGAACTTAACCTACTATAGTACTAATAGTGCCTAATAGTATAAAATAAATTACTTTAATCGCAATAATGTTATCAAACACACGTATAGTAATATTATTGGCTGACGGACCATCTTCGCTCAGGATTGTTTTTCGTATACAATGATTTTTTATCATTTAATTCAAATATTACAACACATCCACTTCATTGTTCCGATGACTCTCTAGACACCCAATGTACAGCAAGGGCGTTATCATCTTACCTATTTTTTTAGTTGTGATATCAAAGTGTTTTGTTTTACTTTAAGATAATAAATTTCCTAATGAACTTATTTACAGATACTTTTAAGTCCACATTAGAATGACAATGGAACGATTTGAAGTATTACCATTACATCAAAACAAACACCTCATCAAACAATGTTTTGCTTTAATACATTCTGAATGGCCTGCACGCAATGAAAAAGCTCCCATTATGGAAAGGTATTTTTCAAACATAAACAATTTACCCAGTTTCTTAAATATCTATTATTGGTTTGAAATTAGAACGAAATGATACTTTAGGTTTGATAGAAAATTGAATTACTTATATCTACAGGTTAAGTTAGAAAAAATTAAAAAAATTAAGTTTTCAGTATTTCATAAAATGCGTATTACGTATTTAAGTATGTTTAGAAATAAAATATTGTATAACTTAAAATTTCTTAAAAATGTTTTTATCATAGAATTTGAATATGAATTGCTATAGTAAGACACTCGAAAACTTAATACAAGGTTCCTCATTAGTTGTTATCAGTGTAATTTAAAAAAAAGTTGAGTAGTAATAGTTTAGTATGGGCGTTTGAAGTTCGAATTTTGACAAAATTTGTCAAAATCACGAAAATAATTTGCAAATTGTGATATGTTAGATATTGATAAATTTTCTTTTTAGATTTAGCGTTTAAAAAATTAATTCAAGATTCCTCGTAAATTTATCTACTTTTAATGAGAAAAAAACAGTTTACAGAAGACACAAATTAATTTTTGATTAGCGTTTGATGAATTATTCCGATGTTGTATATTGACCCGTAAGTTAACAATTTGTTTCGGAACGATGTTTTTATTTTATTGTAATTCAAAAATGAATAACCGTAGATAATTGAAACTTTTATACGTAAAGCATATAATATTATAATTTTCTATACACCATAATATTTCCCTAATGTTTACTGTTTTTAAATTATTTATTGTCAGAAGAAATGTTCGAATTTTTTTGTTAAAAATATATACAAACATAAATTTATAATTTGGAAGAAATTATATATTTGAATGAAGAATAACGATCTTAGATATTTTGTTGTAATTTAAAAAGATATTTTTTATAGTTACCTTATTAATATAAAGGTTTCATATATATTACATCAAGTGGATTGAATGATGTTTATGCATTTTTATATGTCGTTACACAGTTTGGAGGAATCATGTGATACTATGCCAATATCTTTGATATTGGTTAAGAAAGAAGAAGATAACTCCGAGACACTTATAGGACATGCACAAATTTCACTTATACCGGATATTCCAAATGGTAGTTTCATAAAAACAGGTAAATAGTATTCTGATACATTTTTAAGTATGGTTGATGCTTGTAAGTAACAATTGCATTCTAATATTAATGTATAAAAAATCTTAATTCCTCATAAAGAAAATGTTGAGTAGAGTGTCTAAATGTCTAATGTTTGAAACACGGTAGCTACTGTAAACTTTTAACACCTTAAAATAAAAGTACATACTTTGTTTAATTGATAATGAGAATTGTTATTGTTTTAGTGGTCATACTGAATCATTACAGAGGAAAAGGACTAGGAAAATATCTTTTATTGAAGACCGAAGAATACATAAAAACGTAATAATAACTATTATTGATATCTAGATACAAATATACTTGAAATTATATTTAAATGTTAAAATAATTTTTATAGGTTGGGTTTACATTTCGCATACTTGTGTACTATTTCCATAGAAGAGTTTTACTCAAAACTTGGATATATTCAATGTCAGCCAGTTTTCTTTTGTGGTGGCAGTTTGAGTGGTACCAAAGAATCAAAAATAGTTCCTGTGGGAGGGACATCATTTAAAACATTTATGAAAAAACAATTGACTTGAAACCGTTTTTTAAAATGTATTTTTGTTTATATTTTAAATTACAAACAAGGAATAAATATCACTGATATAATCGTGTGTCTATTGCACATTTCAGTTAACACTTACTAACAGCTTTAACTCCATAGTAGTAATAAACTCCATAGTAGTAATAATAATAATACCTAGTAATAATAATAATAATAATAATAATAATAATAATAATAATAATAATAATAATAGGTAATAATATAGTAATATTATATAATATTAATATATATATATATTATACATATGTGTGTAAAAAATTACATTATATACAAATTAATTGAGCCAACGTAAAATAATAATAATAATAATATAATTAAAAACCTAACATGTTTTCAAACAATACAATTTTTGTTTAAGGGGAAAAAACAAATTTGAATTATAAAAAAATAATAATATGTATAGTATTTACTGAGTCATAACTCATATAACGATAGTGTAATAAAAACACCTCGTAAATTACTAATAATACAGATGAGTGCATGACTGAAACATACCGTGTCTTCAGCACTTAATTTTAAAATAAATTTGATATGATGTTTTATACGTATAACTTACAGACCTATTAAATAATAATTATAATAAAAGTCTACATTATTTTTATCTCTAATGTATAAAATAATATGTACAAACATGTACCGCCATCCTGACTGGATATAATTGTATGAGAAGTATTTTTCAATACATAAAGTTGTGCAATGTCATTGAGTTTAAATCTGGAAATATTTCACTAAAGTTGACTATACTTAATAAGTTTTCTTAATTACATTTCAAACCAAAAATAAACGCCTGATGTCGAAATCGTCAAATTTTTTAAATGCAAAAATGTTAAAACTAAATACATACACACCTGCACTGGTAGGTACATCATCAATTTATTAAAAAATTGGTAGGCACGCATTTCAAAAATTCGACACTAAAATACAATCTTTGGTTAAAATATGTATGTATAAAAAAAATTATATATTCTTAACAAAATATATATAGTTTGTTCATAAAATTAATTATGTGCATAATATGTATAGTAGGTATTACGTATTTTATACAACCTTTTGGTAGGTTTTTACAAAGTCGGTATAATACACATGTTTAATAACTTCTAAATAAGAATAATAATGACAATATTACAGTCTCAAACGAATACAGCTGCAGCAAATATAATTATAATTAAAAGCTAAGTATACCAATTGCACATAATAGCGGTGCTATTTTTTTGCGAAACCCGTATTTTCTTGGACATTCAATGAGTTATACAAAATAAAACACATACATACTCAAGACTTACACTACCTTTTGACTATTTTTTGATAATGGTAAGTTTTCTCAAGTTATTTATACTTCATAGTTTGTTATTTACAATCATTTAACGATTTTGTGGGTGAGTTAGGGAAGTACCTAAATGTCACGTGTGGCGGTGGTGGTGGTGGTGATGGTGGTAGAGGGAGAGGGAAGAAATATTATCCAAGTATCTGATAATGTATTCCTGAAACCCAATACATTTTAGTAGTCCTGACTTATCAACATTTTATAAACGTACCTATTTTATTATGAAATACATTACATCGTTGTATTTTTCTAACCACCAACCTTTAGCCTCAGCCTTAGCCTTTATAGGCTATATTTAGTACAGTACTAATAGTACTTATCGCGTATTTTTTTAGTTTAATACATTCTTTCCGACCACCACCTGCACCACATGCATTATAGAATTTAAAAGTGTAATCTATGTTCATAGTGTGTCCAAACCATTCCAGTCTTTTATTCCTTTCTTTTTCGGTTGTATTATATAGCCGACGTGAACGTTATCTAAGTTTAAAAAGGAATACGATTAAAAATATCAAGAGAAAAAATTGCAAAATGTAAGATAGGCACCTGCAATAAATAACAATGAAGATACATAGTACTATATGTATTTAGTAACTAGTGAATACCAATAACCAGCATTTGGTTACCAGATATTATCATAACCTATACAAATTGCTGTGTGCAACAAATAACAATAGTATACCTATTGTTTAGATTCGTTGAAAAATACTATGTCCGAGGAAATACGAGTGAGTGCTTGTCGCGTTTAAAAATTAACTCCTCTCCATATGCATTTATGGGGATGGTTTTCGGGGATGAAACGTACACATTATGAAATTTCATCATTATTATAAATCTATGCCAACTGTCCCTACTAAGTGGGTGTGGAGTACCAGTTGTGGTGGTTTTTTAGCGAGTCGGCAGCATACACGGACGACGGTGGCGGAGGTGGCAGCGGCGGGCCAGTGGCCATAGTCGACTTGGACGGATGGTAAAGATGAAAGCCGGCAGCCGAATGATAAAATGCTGCGGCCGCAGCTGCCGCGGCCGCGGACGTCTGATCGTAATGGTCGAGTGGCACGCCGGGCGGTGGCGGCGGTGCTGGGTTGTACGGCTGCGGTTTCAGCGGCAACGCGGGTGCGGCAGACGATGTCACCTCCGCGTGATGGCCGTATTGCTGGTGAAGGTGCTGTTGTCGTATCTGCAGCAATGCGTCCGCGGACGTCGGCGGTGGCCCGTACAAATCATACTGGTGTTGCTGCTGGTGCTGTTGTTGCTGTTGCTGCTGGTGCTGGTGTTGATGTTTGTCGCGTGGTGACACGGATGACGGCGGCGTCATGGCCGTGTGGTAATCGGCATAACTGTATGGTGGTGGTACGGCCAGTCCGCCGCTGTTACCGAACTCGTTTTTCTGCGACCCGAACTGTTGCTGTTCTGAATAACCACCCTCGCTGCCCGGCGGCGTTGGCAACGTGCTCATTTCGCCCGCGTAATACGAGACAGCACTGGCGCCGGGTGAACGGGGAGCGTGCACGTTGGCGCGGATCACCGACTCGCGGTTGGCGTATATTTGCCGGAGCAGTGCTGAGGCTGGCAGTGTGGTGCCTGGTGCACCCCCCGTCGACTGTTGGCCGTGGGGCAATGCACCCTGGTGGTGATGGTGGTGCTGCTGCTGCTGCTGTTGGTGATGATGGAGGTGATGGTGATGAGGTGGCCCGCCAGGGTGATGGTGGTGCTGGTGCTGCTGCAGGTGTAAGCCACCGTTCTGTTGTTGCTGTTGTTGCTGCTGCTGCTGCTGTTGCTGCTGGTGTTGTTGCTGCTGATGGAGGTGGTGGTGATGTCCCAGGTGGTGAGCCCCGATCCATTGGATCGTACTCTTCTGTTGCTGCTGCTTAAGTAGCGCGTCCGTACTAAAGTCGGTCGGTTGGTGTGCTGCCGTCACTGATGACGCGGGCGTCTTGTCCGTGGCCGGCGGCAAGTGTTTGGACATGGCGTGCTCGAGCTCTTTCACGGCGTTGGGGTCGCTAGCGGCCGGTCTCTTATCACTGCCGCTGCCGTTCGTTTTTGGTGGACTGGGCGGCAACGTGGATTGACACGACGACGAGGCGGGGCTCAGGCTGGCGAAATGCGGCTTCCGGCTCACCATAGCATCCTCTTCCGAACTACTGCAGCAGCTATCTGCCGCCGCCACCGCCGCAGCCGCCTCGTCCCGGTCAGAGATTTTCCTTTTGTGTGCTTTCCGTTTGTCGTTGCCTGACTTTTTCGGTTGTATTCCTATGCTGTTGTTGTTGTTGTTGTTGTTGTTGTTGTTCAACTGAAACGAACACGAATCGTAAATATAAACGTCAAAATAATCTATAGAGGACCAAATATTATAATTGAATAGGTATGTTGTATGTATAATGCATTTTATATGCAGTTATCAGGTTCAGACATAATTATATAATTCATACCTGATGTTTTAATTTCAAGAACTACAATGATGACGCAAGTAAAATCACATAGGTGCAACATAGTAATATTATTACTATACAACTATAGTATTCTGTATAACTACCAGTTATCAGTATTATAGAAGTGGGCAGATAGTCAAACTTTATGTCTACTTGATATTTACATTTGTATTAACTATTATTACGTTATTATAAAATATGTTAATCCCACTATCATTTGCAATAACCAATAACCATTTCAAATTAAAATGTTATTTAATTTAACTCACTTGAAGTCGTTCGGACGGTGCGTTGTTCAATTGCGTTATGTCCACATGATTCCTGCCTCTCGTCGGATCACCCTGTCCGTCGGCCGAGTGGCCGTCGTCCAGGTCGGCCGGTGTTAAGTGATCTCTTCTAGGATTTCCTCCTCGCCCATCTAAAAATAAACGATATCCAGTTATAATTTGTGCCAACGCCATAAGTCATAACATATGACGGCCACACTTACCACCGCCACCACCATCGGGTGAACCGTTCTCAGGGTCGTTGCCTCCTGTTTCTTCTCTTTTCACCGCCCTCTGTCTAATATGCTCTTCCATTTGGCAACAATCCATTATCAAATTGTCGAATTCTCTGGCACTAAAATCATCATATATATACATTATACATAATATTATACACCACGATCAATATTCCGCAGAGGTTCGGATAATGTTACGCACATTTTTTTTTTTTTTACTATAGTTGGTGAATGTTCTGAATACAAAACGAGGGGACACACCTAATTGGCGCAGGGTTAAAATTTAAAATAAAATACAACTTACCTGACTACGTAGTTGACGCAAATGATGTTCTGTTCTTCTGCGTTTTTCGAGTTACAGACGACCGTACCGCACGTCTGCATCCAAGTGTAACCACCATTTTTATTCATCACCCTATAGTAATGCGTCATCATTTGTCCTTTGTTAATCACTGAAATAAAAAATGAAAATGTTAATTTGACAAGTGGTAAATATAGAACATTCTCATATAGGTAGTACAACATATTTTTAGGAACCGACTGCATTTATATTATTGTAATTTTATAAAATAACTATTAAAAAACAACTAATTTCAGTAAAATATTACTTAAAATTAAAATTAAAATTATAATATTATATTATATTTAATATAATATTTAAAGTTTTACGTTATTTTGGAATAATAAATTAGATTATCTATTGATATTCTTGATGCTTCGTTCACCGTTAATATATTTATTATAATTTTAATAATAACTTATTCCAATACTTATATTTTTTGTTGTCTTTATAAAAAAATATTATATTACCTAACGGCTGACAGAACTATATAATTATCCATGTATACCTATGTAATTATTGTAATTTCATTACATAAGAAGAAATGTACAGTAAAAATGATTCAGTCCAATATACAGGTAGGTATATATACTATATAGTATGATGTTGAATGTTGATGTAGGTACGTAATTATTTATATATTATATATTGGAACTTTACATTTATATCCAGCTATTGTTATAAAGCAATATAAAAGTAGGTAAGATACTAGGAACTAGCAGTTTAACATTTACAAATAGGAATGGTTTTATATAAAATAATGTCTACATACACACGACGAATAATTCATATATTATAAGTTATAACAATATATCCAATTTTTATTATTGTCCGAAAGCCACTTGCACGCGACTCGAGTGGAATATCTATGCATTAATTTTGGGAAGACGGATCTATGGCGGCGCTATAATACTATTTAAGCATTCAACTCATTCGACCTGACTATGACGAAATAGACATTGTTTTTCCGTCCACTGCATGATTACGACCTAACTATACCTGCAGTAGGTACCTATGGTAGAATGGTATATTGTATATTACTGTAGTAGGTAGAGAGTACTGATGATGAAGACTGGTGGTCGGTAGACATAATATTATTATTATCCGTTTCCTGCAATAAGTATGAAACCTTCTAACTATATCCAGTGGCGGATTTTCAAAATTTTTCTTGGGAAGGAATAGGTCCAGAAAGATAATTCGTATTTCAAAGGTATTATTTATATTAAAAAAAAATTGTTTACTATAATTGTATTTATGTATTTTTATTATATTAACTTAAATTTAAAAGCACCTATAGTTACTTATGTATTTTACAAAATCAAAAAATTAAAACCTATTGCTCAACGTAATATTATTTTGGCGTTTAGGGTTTACCCACGTAAATCCATCACTGCCTGTATCACGATTTCCAGGCACTCGCTGTACTAAGACGAGCAAAATGTGCCTATACACATTAATGTCCTACACGAACGGCATATAATATATATTTTATGCATACATATAATATACATCTAACCATGCACGTATAATAAAACATACACAACAATTGTTGGTTCCTCCTTCGCAGATTTGTCATTGTATATGGCAAAATATTACATTACAGTATATACCCATACCACCGTACTTTCCTTTACCTGTAGGTACTGATGACGACGACTACAATGGTGATGATGATGATGATGGTAATACACACGCACAGCTACAGAGGCACTTGCGCCTGTTGAAATATGCCGGGCAGGTATCGCACCGGAAGCTCCGCCCTCCCCCTGTTACCGGACCACATGCCATTACCCCGGTGGCCACACGTTAGATGTTATCGTCGTCCACCAACAAGAGTCATCGTCTCGTGTACGATGTATTCGGCGAAGACAAAATAGGTAGGTACATATTATAATATTATACTCGGTGCGTATTACTGTTCTGAATACTGATGACGCTCTTCCGGTCGTTATTCAATTACGATCGCGTATAAATATAAATGGCCACCATTTATATGCCCGTTAACGCGAGATATTATAATGTATATCATAGGTAGGAGGTATATCTAGTTGAAGTATACCTACCTACCTACCTACCTAGTCACCACATATTATACGATACCTGCACTAACCATCGCCCGACCCGTATTATATTATTTTACATTTTTATCTGTATCTGCAGCGTATACTATTACAATGCGCACCGTCGCGTACTACTCGAAACTATATGGTAACGACCGTATTGTGTTATAAATTCATAATATAATAAATAATAATATTATGAAGTTGATGTCCATAACATTATAGTCCTTGCATGTTGCAGTATATACTTACAGTCTAGGTGACATTTTCGGAGTTTCCCCACGTCCTCGCCGTGACACAGGGTATACATGTTCATACCAGTCAGTTCGTCGGCCGTATAATCTAGTATTTCCGCCACCCTGTGATAATAATAATAAATCATCGTTATACATTTGCGTATCTATATAGTATATTATACACGAGAACTAAAAGTGTATAAAACTTCAACAAAAACGGTCTCACGGTTTTTGTGTATTTTAAAATTATTTACTTCTTATAATACTTATAACCGTTGAATATATAGATATATCAATAACTAAATATTCCAAAACATACATCATTAAATAGGGTTGTTGGTACAATAGACGTATTTCTCGTCTAATTTTGTAGTTAAAAATTAGTAGTTTTTCAAACGTTTTATGCTCTTATAAACCAAAAAATATTGTTTTTATTTTATATTCGAGTTCAACACTATATTTTTGTATTTTTTTGCAAAGCGAAATTACAATATTTCCAACGAATATCTAGATTCTAGAGGTATCTGAGCATCTCAATCGATATAATTACCTTGGTTCGCAATGAGCTATTCGAAAGTCGAAGTATAGTCTTGTGACGAACATGTCGGTTTCCAGTCGGATTTCGTGCACGCTTGGTGGGGGAAGAGCGATGGCCAGGGACACTGCGCCCAAAAGCGGTGGCGCACATTTCCGATTGTGCGAAAACGTGTACTGTGGCCTCAGTCTGCAAATCAACAGCACCACCTGAAACATAAGAGTAAGATTGTGAGTTGACGATAAAAAAAAAAATCACAATTTCTTAGTGAATTAAAATTTAATGGTTTGTGTGGCTGGTGTGTGTATAATGTATATTATTATTTATTATATACTATAAGGTAAAGGTTGTTGACGAGTTTTTATCGCCTTAATAATATCGTATGATATACATCATATTATATATAATATACGACTGTTAGTGGCGTGTGAAAAAAAACAGTGGTTAACGCGACATCAACAGTTCTGACACGTAAATTACATAAAAAAAAGAGGAAAAACAACCTCTTGGAACCAGAGGCGTTCTTCTCTTGTATACTCATCACGATCACTGGATATGATTTGTACATCCTGACAACGGTCTTAAGTCGGCCGCCTACCAGGTCATTCAATTTTCGTTTTACTATACTCTAAACGTTTACACGTTATGTGGTACATTTTTATTATTATTATTATTATTATTATTTTTTTTTTTTTTGACGCTTCCGACTAGGTATAGTAATTGTTTTTTTTTCGTGTCTATGTGAAACGAATTTTATATATTATCGTTGAATACTTAAGTATCATCTACTTTTTGTCTTTCATTCTATTGGGCTACAATGAAATCGGAACAAAATGATCAAACTCATGACACGCACAATTATTGTTATTAAATTGTTTTCTATTGTTCTTTTAGTGCAAACTTGTCAAAGGAGTTGTTTTTAAAACAAAACGTTCACGGATATATGGTGACTTAATTAATTAGGCTCATTCAGAATTGAAGTTAACAAAATTATGAGAATTGTTCGTCCATAAAACCCAAATCATTCAAATACACCCATAGATGAGTGTATACTGTATATACTATACATATATATATATGTATATGTTTATAAAAAGCCATTGGGATTTTTCTCTCGTCCACCGTCTACGAACCTAAGTGTATAATTATCCATGGTTATTTAACCGATATCTTGTTTTTATTAGTCCATCTGAAGTAAATCAAAAATCAAGATGAAAAAAATACCACCTATAAGGGTTAATAATGTGGTGATGTAATAACTGAATAAGTAATACCAGGTACCTATAATGGTTATTTTCTTTAATTCGTGGAATATAATTATTTTTTTTAGTCGTCTGAAATTACATTGTTCTGTAAGTATACAACCATTGTGGAACACCAATTGTGCATTATTACAATTATTTTTGTTACAATATCAGTGTTAATGTTGTTTTATCATCGTTTGAATTGCTTTCTCTTTGCCATTGTCACCACATAATATGTAAACACACATATACGCATATTACACTATATTATACGTATGTAGGAACATAATATACATTTAACCAATGGTCAATTTTGTGGTGACAGGTTGCCAAAGTATGGAATTTGTAAATGCATCATTGACGATGTGTTTGTACGTTTTTATTTTGTATATTATACCTATATGTCTATGTGTTACGTATACGCAAGACTGATGGTAATTTTCTATACATGAATAATCATTATGTAAACAAATTACAGTAAGTAAAAAAAATATTCTAAGGTATTCAAATACATATTATTTTATTTTTGAGGCTTTATTTTCGCTTATTGTTAAATTTGGACCGAAACCATGCTTTGGGTGCTCGGGGAGATATCCAATTAAAATAGAACAAGTATCTCGAACAAAAGTACTAATTTTTAGTGGTTTCAATGATTCATCATTTATATTTGGGGTGGAATTTCCCTTCAACCCTTGTATTTTCCTCGTCTTTATTTCACATCCCCTTGTTTTATTAGGTCAACACAATCATTCGTATTTTATACAACTTCAATATGATTGTGATAGTATTGATGTTGTGCACAGAAATAAAACTTCATCTTGAAACATATTATTTAAATAGGTACTATGTTTTAATATTTTGTTGGAATATAAGAAGATAATGAAAGTAGTTTTATACAAAAATATACAATTGTATATCAATGACATTTCTTAGTATGGTGAAATTGGTAATTGCCGACGACTTATCAGTTATCAAAATCGAAATATTTTCAAACTATACATAGATTGTATGACGCACTCATTTTTGGCTGTCTTAAGCTTAATAATCACACAACCATCAACCCTTTACTTCAATTTTGGTCTGAAAATTACACTTCTCCCCTCCAAATAAGAGAATTCATATATTATTGGGAAAGTGGAAATGTATAATTCTACACCCTATACGGTGGTAATAATATCCGTATTAGAAAAGTATATATATATGTATGCTCACCCTATATCCGGAGGATTTGAAATGGCAACCACGTTTAGTCAGCGTAGACTTCATTCTAATGCAAAACGCTCTGTCTAAGCCTTTATATGCATTTGTGCTGGATAGAGACATCACTGACGAAACTGAAAATGTTATAAAATAATGATTATTGTAATGCTTTATATTTGTATTTGATTTTTTATTGAATAAGACTATTTGTTTTGTTCTTATGAATTAAATTCATGACTAGATGTTTTTAATGTAAAAATGATTGTAATTACCTATAGTTAATGCAAAATTTAATTATTTAATTATAACAAGTTATGTAATAATAATTTTTGTTTCACCTATTTGTTAAAAAATAAAAATAAAATGTTTCGGCGATCGTATTCACACTATGTTCGCACAATATTATTTGTTACACGGCAATCGGATACAAGTATACAACTTTATATAATTATGTGTTCGAAGTCACGACCGTTTGCGGCCGGACTAATGATCCGTACTTCCTTATATACTACAGAAAATCTATACGATATTATAATGTTCCAAACTATAAGCACATAATCGGTGGTCAGTGTGTGAAAAACGATTATATTTTTATATTTTCGTCGTTTATATGTGTGTATATATATATATATATTATATATTATATATTATACAAATTGTATGTAAAAGTTCAAGAATAATTTTGGAAGAATTAAAACAATTTCAATATATCTTTTATCAAATTAAGTATTTGAGGAAAATAATATTGTGTGAACTCGTATTAGGTTTAAAATCATAGCCCCTCGCGTCAATTCGTAAAAATACTCCGTCACGCACTATCGGATCGAGCGTTGTAACTGAAAAAGGACCAAACTAATTTTTCCCTCGGACTAGATGTTTTTTTTATTTTATTTTTTGGTTATAAATTGGATTGCATTTCAGTGTTCTATACGGCGTGACGGGGCAATAAAAAACACTCAGGGTGAGCGTGTGGCTAATCACGTGAAACGTCGTAGAGTGTGGCCACCGTTGTCTGAAGGGATGGAAACTCACCGTCCGGATTCGCCGTGCCCACATTGGAACTTCCTTCTTCGGAGCCAGCACTGCTGGGCGACGGCGATGCCATCCCCTGGCCTTGAGTCAGTCCTAGGCCTAATTGTTCAGCTAGCTCAGAATGGTCGGCTTGGTGAATGTAGTCGAACACACTACTACCAGTCATCTCTACCTGCAAAAAATAACACGGATAAGTAAAGGAACTAACACAACGGTTTGACATTTGGAAGCCTCTTGAGATATTGGTTGTACGTTACGAGGGGAATTAAACTATTCGGACTTAGTGAAAAATCTTCCCGAATCGTCCATCATTGTTACCGTCCGTAACGTTAATTTAGACTATATATAGGGCCGTGCGCATGGTCTACAAACACTCCCCCCTCATCTCCCATTCACCAGGAAAGGTAAGGGAGGATTGACGCGTTTTAAAGGTTGCGCGGGTGGGTTCCGGCTCGACTCGAATTCGACTCACGTACACTTGAGCCGTGCGAGCGTGTTCCTCATTCGTAATTCCGAACCGTACTCTCTCTCGCCCGCCTGACACAATCAATAGCTATGCTGCAAAGGCCGACACGGGGGAGACCCAGGGTTTTTGCGCTTTTGACGTGGCCTGTACACAGGACTATGGTGTGCAGGGTAGGTTTCTAGAACTGACGATTGTTTCTACATCACATTTCATCCAACAAACTAAACAACGCTCTGGTATTATGGATGTATACTAATAAACTTTTTACTATTTAAAAAAGCAACACTTTTATGGAAATCGCAACTTTTCAATAAAATATAGTTATATTTCATCATGATGAGAACGCACATAAAATAAGGACAACAATTTTCATTAGTTGACATAAGTAAATATAATAACCAAAAATGTAGAATTTTTTATGTGAATAAGACTATAAAAATATAGATAGGTACTAATATAATCGAGTTTATATAAGATATATTCTTTTGGGAACTAACTTATTATACATCAACTCAATATTATATGTGAATTTTTTTTTTATATATAATTATTAATTTTAACGTTTTGTTTATAGAGAAATATAAAAAATTAGTACCTAGTTAAAAAAGTAAAGAAAAAGTAGTAGTAGCAGTATTTTGACTTGATATTAAAATATAATATTAATGCATTGTATTTGTATACATAGAAATATTGGATAATAACTTTTCAAAGGCATATTTTCTTCGGGAATTACAAATCAAAAAAGTGGGAAAGTAGGTAACCTCTCTTCTATTCAGCAGATACATCATCATTGAGTAGGTCACTGTAATGGATATGTTAACTTTGAATTCAATGATAAATCATTTCATACGAAAAACGATTCTGAACGGAGACGGTAGATCAGTCTTTTATGTATATTTGTTAAAATATTAATATTGTTCTTACATATGTACATAATTTTAAATACAATACATTCATCGCGTTGCTCAGAATCTAAAATTATAAGCTAAGAAATTATTTTAGACAAATTCATAACGTCTTATGAAAAAAAAATAGGGGTAAAATTATTTTGACTTCAATGTATTAAGACAGTAGGTATGTGGTTAAATATTTCTATGAAAAAATAAAGTACCTATATGTCCAGCAGAGAATTATAGCCGTGGTCAATTAAAAAAATTATTATTATATACAACCAAGAGAATACGAGAAATGAAATGAATTTGAAAACAATAGATAACGTTTACTAAAAAAGTATTTCAAACAACAATGTACGAATCAAGAGTAATTTAATGTTAAATGAACTAAACAAGGGAATTTATTTTAATATAATTACTCATTATATGAATAATATATAATATAACGTTAATTTAATGTTTCTAAAAGAAGCGTGAAAGTGAATTATACCATTAATTAATTATCTACAGGGTAACTTCGAATACTATATAAAAAAGTAAAAAAATCATTAATATATGTTATCGAGTTTTCATATATTTAACTGCTAAATTCGAGTCATTACCAAAGTCGAAGTAAAGTCAGTGCAGTGTTTGATATAAATTATATTTTGGTATTGTTTCACATATACGTATCAAGTTACCTTGCAACGTGGCTGCAGTGTATATTTAAATAATTATGAAATCACATACATCGTTATATTGTTAAAACTGGATTAATATATTATATTCAGTGGTTAACAAGCAGGGAGCAAAGTGTTTCCCAATTGTTTCGAGTAGAACAGTGTTGAACGCAATTAATATTGTAAAACTCAAACAATTATATATGTGCCATTTTCAAAGGGGAGTTTGGACGGGAAGTGAAGACTTCAACGTTGTATAGCTTGGCGTATAGGTTGTTTCATAGCGTACACATTTATATACATATTGAGCAACACATATAATTTAATATTGTACGGTGTTTCAAAATACTCACTTGAGAAAGACCTAGGTAGATGGACACGGTTTCTGATATGTATAGAAATCGTCCGTCGGCAGCTAAAGCAAACGCAAAACCGTCCAACGACTGTAAAAATAATAAGACATATTGATATTATCGACGTGGTTTTAAGTCATATGTTTTAGTATTTTACTTGAAGTATGTGTGTGCCTTGGTGCTGTTCAAACAATTCCAAGGCTATGGTACTAGGAGATCTATTTCGAGCTGAGGTTCCTGAAACATTTAAAAACATTCTATATTTTCAAGTTAATTTTCATCGCACATATACCATATTATATAGTGTATATTATTATTTATTATATCGTATCTAGTTTGTGTATTTTTTTCATTAAATGCACAAAATCATATCGTTTCCCTCAAATAAGAACTGTTTCCATAGCCCCTACACAAATACATCCAGTTTAATCAAAAAAGTCTATCCTAATCCTCAACTGAGTAAACATTTTCGTCCCCTAAGCACCCTCGCGACTTTCATTTGGCAACTTGGTCGTTTACTTTGCACAAACAGTCTCGCGTAATACTATGTGTTGGTATTAATAACATATCTCCCTTATTTATTAATCGGCACAATAATCGAGTCAATCGCAATAAGTCCATACACAATTATTATGGACATTTATTTATAAAAATGTAACTATCTTAAACGTGTAATATGAATTTATCTTCGTTTGTTTAGCTACAAATAGAACATTGTTGTTTTCAAAAACGCTTATGACATCGTGTAGGTGCCTATCATATTCCAAGTACTAATATCGCCTATACCGCTACTACCAGGGACCATAAAGTATTGGAGCAGGAGAATCGTCCCTTGGGACAACTACCACATGTGTTCCTGGCGGTGTCAACAATTATTTATTGTTCTTTTTACCAAGGGGAAAATTCCCAACTTATGGAATATATGCTATATGAGTGTCAGATACAATTTAAAATTAGTTTTTGTAAATTGTACTTTAAGATATTATTTTAGGCCTACCAAATATATAACTCTTTATTGCCAGATTTGTTTTCGATCCATTATTTTTTATAATAATTCGAATCCTAGTAAAAGTACCACGGGGTGGATTCCCTATTACAAAGTTTTATTTTGTTAAAATATTAGTAAACGTTACAAAACGAGTAATTTTTAAGCTACCTAAACAATTCGAGATTTTCATTTTGTTATACTTCTATAAATAAGCGAGCTATAGGTGTAGATTAAATGAATCAAATATAATATATTAATTACATAAAATCTTTATCCGCACTAAAATAATATGTTTATAACTATATCTAAAAATACTCTTTAATATAAACCATTTTTAAATACCAATTTTCTCAATTAGTATAATTTTACCAATCATATATTTCAGAGGCTTAGTGAATATAAAACATTGACCGCTGCCAAACTGATAAAAACTTGTAATTCAAAACTCTTCTTCACTATTGTTGTTAAATCAGTTTACGAATTTTTTTTACTTGGTTGTAAACACAAATAAATATATACACATAGGGTGGGGAAGTGCACCTTTGTTATCCAAATTAACTTAAGTCGGTGGAGCGCGTGTGTGTTTAACAAATCCCGTCCCCCTATTTTGCGGGTGGCTGATTGAAACCACAAAAATAAAAAGAGAAAGGGGGGAATGTTTAAAGCCCTCCCCTTGCATTTAACTCAGTTAGCTCGAGGTTTATTCATGGGTCCCAGCAATCAGTCGGGTAGTGTTTTAAACTCTTCTCACCCTAAGTTCCTCTTTGTGATGATAACAAGCCCCCAGGCACTCTTAATTCGCTTTAAAGTGATGTCGGCCGGATTTGTTTGACGAAAATATTATTACAATTATTATACCCGCGAATTATAATCAAATTTGGTGGTTATTGAGATATTGTCAACATGGAATTATTATTAGTTTAAAACCACATGGTGGTGACGATTTCACCATGATCCAAAAAGTACAGTGTCACTATAACCACCAAATAAATATTTTTACATAAATGTATATTACTTTATAGTTTATCGATTCAGTAGTATAATACATAACTGCAATTTAAATCAAATAGATACAGTATAATTGAATGAATAACACGATAATAATCTTTAATTAAACCTTAAACATACTTTTTTTAGTGGGTACCTCTTGAAATTATAAATTTTACAGGTGGGTGATTTTTTTGAAAGACTTACTGCATAAAATATAATATGCCTAATGTAGGTTTAATATTAGACGCACCACTTAAGAATTAAATTTATCTCTTTTGATTTTTAAAATAAAAAATTTCAATAGTTACAATGAAATTATCGTGTTTTATTCCAGACAAGATGTAACGGAGCAAGGCGTATTTCAGTGGATGTAAGCAACATAGGTACGCTATACAATAGTGATGATGATGTTGATGTCGATAGCATGTATACTGTATAGCATTTTTGCTGGCAAGAGGTGTAATCAAAATAATTGCCGTAACGGTGGTACGATATAAATATTGATCGGATGATTGACCGTGGAGAGAGATGAGTTTGGCGGCCTAGGTATTGGACAATGGGCATGTGCTCTCGAGTCTCGTGCTGATAGCCGTGGAAAGAATTGTCATTTTTTTTTCCAAGACACGAGTCACAAATTACTAACTGTCTCTTGTTCTTTTAGCTTCTTCGTCCTTGCCCCTCTGTTTTTTGTTTTTTACACGCCAGTCTCCTATTGTGTCACCGAACAAGAAAGCTCCGAATTACTTTATATATACAATATTATCTTTATATTACAATTACTTTATATATAATATAATATAGATGCTGTGTTTTGTCACTTCCATTGGAAAGCATTTCCGAGAATATTTCATGATACTCTCCGATATAACCTGAGTAGATATATAATATGAAAATAGTACCTAACCAATAAAAAAAAATCAAGTTGTCAGTAGAAAATGAACGGTGTTTAAAATGAGCTGACTAACTGACACGGACAATTCGATAAAGTATAGACGTATATTATGTAAACATGTTATGACTTAATTGTTTATTTATGTGTATAACACAATTACATGAAATTATTTCAGAAAGATCTATACAGACTTATAGGTAGGTACAGTATTGTCCGAACACGATATAAACTAAGGCATTCTATGTTTGTATTTCTCTAAAAATGTTTATACTATTTTTAAGATTTTTATTATTTATGTAGTTTAAATGCGTGTATAATTAAAAACAAAGTCTGCTGTTTTCTGAGACAGAAAATGTAATTTTTCTTTTTACACATGCAGAATAAAAGTGTCAAAATTAATTCTATGCCATACCTAAAAGTTAGTGGTCTAACATTTGATACAACTTAATAAAAATGCAATAATAGCTGGTATTAGATATTATTCTTGGGAAGGACCATAAAAAATAATTGCGTAACCTTAACTGCTAATAATGTGTTTTTTATATGATATACTTCGATGAAATATATTTAAAATAAAAAATGAAATTAATACATATAAAATTAAATATAAATACCCACGAATCTAAAATTCAAAACATGCACTTGACTAAATTAGACAATGCGACCATATAAGACAAATGAAACGTGACATTAGAAATTGTCTAGTTAACATTTTTGTGTGTGGCTCGGCAATGACGTAAATAATTGATAGTGTATTATAGTTTTATATATATTTTTGGGATACTCTTTCAGCGAGGTCTAATCGAACACGAGACGGTGACTTAAACGGGCCAATTCCACGAGATGGTATATGTTCGGGCACTGCCGGGCCTCTTCGGAAGTCATTATATTGTATTATAATAATAATACCCAGCAATGATGTCAACCAAAATAATAATATATTATTGTCTGTGAAAAAAATATGAATATGTTGTATTTGGGTAGAAAAGTCGGTGTGCCTGTGTGTCGCCGCGGGCCAATCGTCATAGTATTATAAATACACGGACGCTATCCACGGGACGTCGCCGTCGGCACGCGGACGGGTGGATGGGTGAGCATCGCGAAGAGCAATACAACAATAATTAAACGGTGAATAAATTATTATCATTAGTATTATTACGATTATTAATAATAATAATATATTGTTGAGATACTCTCGATGATTTTCGAGTATTGACCACGCCCATCGCCCTCTTCCGTCACAAAACCTATTACGCGTTCGCGCCTCTTACGTATGCAAATTGGCTCGTGACAAAGTGTTCGTTTATAATGTACGCAAATTTCATCGTACGCGTGTGTATGGGTTTTGTGTGGGTGTGTGTGTGTGTGTGTGTGTGTGTATAAGTTGCGCACGCCGTCACGGGGTTGTCGGCTGTGGGTGCCTCCTTGTTAATCTAATAACACTACCGCCGCGCCGCCGCCGTTAACTAAATCGGCCGCCGTCACCCTCTTTTATACACGTAATATTGGCGGCGCGACGTTTAGCTAGTTAGATCCGTATTGTGTGCGCGCGCACCCACGACTTAGGTTATCATTATTATTATTATTATTATTATTATTATTATTATTATTATTATTATTATTGTTACTGTTACTGTTATTATTACTATTATTATCGTTGGAAGTCAGAAAACTGTATAATATGTATACGCAAAGTCAATCGTTCGTGCAGCGCCCGCGGCCGATCAAACGAACCGGAAAATATTACAATATAATATTATATGTGTTATCACTATTCACTACATTATGATTATTGATTATTATTGCTCTTATACATCTGTTCATCCTACAATAACGCACTACACACGATGTACAAATACATATTGAGTTGGACGGATTTGTACAAATTACTTATATATTTTACTAAAAAGTAGAAAACCAATATATTTGTATTCTTCTGGTAATAAATATAAACTTGGATCATAAACGAATAGTAAATAATCATTTAACTAAAAACATAGGTATTTTTAAGGTTCAAAAATTGTTGTAGGGTAGGTACCTACTACATATAATATATTTTGGGCGCAAAACCACATCATATACCTAACATGCGCAATCTACACTGACGAAAAGACTGCTGTCGCCCGCCGGCTATGTAGTCCCGACGGACACTCGATAACTGGTAATTCGATAAACGTTGGGTAGAATAAACGAATTTACTTGACCGTTCGACGAGTGCATTTAAACGCGAAATTGAATTACACCAGGCGGCAGGCTGGTAATGTTTTGATTGACACTTGTGCGGTGGTCATAGTGTGGTCATCGCCCCATACAAAAATTAAAGAGGTATATACCTAAAACTAAGTTTGTCATGGTAGACTGCATGATCATTAAACGTACAACGTGTCAAAAAAGTGTGCCCAACTACTCAAAAATTGAAGAGTGTGATTTAAACATTTGAAGAATTGGAAGCATCTTAAAAGACTTGAATAAATAATGTTAGTCACCTATACGAAAAGCCTAAAAGCATAATTTACTGGACCTGCATCATAGATGATTAATTATGAACAAAAAAGTACATTTAAAAATAAATATATAATATTTGTTATTCATGAATAATGAATATTGAATAAACACTTATATTTTAAAATAAAATTATTAAAGCACAGTTATACACATATTTTGTATTCATGCGTATTTTATTAAAATTGGTAATAATAATGGAAACTTAAAATTGTATTTCTTGTTTATCATTCCAAATGTTCAATTCAAAACATAAAATATGCATATTGTATCTACTTAATATATAGGTACTTAATGTATGTTAACCCTTCATGGTATGAATTTATTTACTTAAATACAGAATAGTTTTCATTCGGTAATGATCAATCTATAATATATTAAATAACGTGTTGAGAAATTAATGTTAATTTTTCTCAATATCTATAGGCTCTCACATAAATATTAAGGTATCACTTCATAACTAATTTGCTTAAATTATACGTAAAAATAAGGACGGTTGTAAATTGCATCGCATAATTTGAAACCGTGTAAAGAACACATTATCATACTTTTATCAAATAACAAAAAATGCTAAAAATTATATGTTTAGTCCCTTTTTTTAAATTTCAAACAGATCTGCCCTTTAATTGAATGCCGGTCAAGTGTAAAAGTTATTTTTGTCTTCCTTATTCCAACCCCCAAAAAAACTGTACTCGCGCACCCGGAAGAAGAAACGCGATTTTACAATACGGTCGTCGCCGCAGTTAAACTGAATTCGTCAAATTAGTGATTGTCAAAAGCAACGTCCACGACAAGTGCAGGCATCAACCCCACGAAAAATAAACTACATTAAAAAGAAATGTTACTCTTTGTAGTCTGTAATATTTGTTATTATGTTTTTATTTTATTAAAAATCTTCTATTGTACACCAAACTATCATAGATATGACTTTCACATTTGTTTGAGACCAATATATAAATAATATAATTAGCAATAGAATATTCAACTAATTGTACCAATTATTAATGACATATGTAATTACTATTTGGTTAAATAAAATGTGCGTTTATTTACCTTTTAGGTTTTTGGATGCAGATTGCGGGCCATCCCTAGTCCACGGTGGATCTCCGTGACCTGAGAAGTCTCTCAGTTTCAGGTACGATATTGTCAGCCGTATGATGGACGCTTTATCCAACTGCGACGTAATTGCTGCAGGCAACGGAAGCATTTTGGCCAGCTCATAAAACTCGTAGTTCTCTTTGCCCCGTCTCGACCTAGCTGCGTCTCGACTTTTTTCTTTTCTCAATTCAAGTATTCTAAAAAAAAAAAAACATAATAATAATAATAATAATAATAAATAAAAAACAAATTAAAATTAAAAACCATAGATATCCGATAAACCTTATAAGAAGTATATATTCACACATAATATCGATTAATGGGAATAATAAATTTAATGGAACTTGTTGCTGAAACATATTATAAACCTGACGATTAAAATGCACGAGCTGTCGAGAGTTCGTTTTTAATTATTAAACCATACACACGTAGTCGTCTTCGTCGATAATATTGATCAAGTAACCGGACGAGTCCATGTAAGGAATAGACGGACGAACCCCCGAGCGTTATATTCGAGTCACATGCGTCGATGTACATCATATCGCACACACTGCGCGCCGTCTAACTATTATTACTTTTCTCCGGATTTGTCAACAATTCAAATTTACCGGTTTTTTGATCGTACCTATATGTTATCTCGTTATATACGTATACATATTATTATTTCGTTGTCGTTGTTGCATATAGAACGACGAGATGGCGAGAAGTCGTTGCCAAATGCAATGTGTATCACTGTACAGTGTATAATAATTAATAACCTTAGACATAAAGTCTGATGAGTGCGAGAGAGCGTGATTTTATGCTTAAAAATCTGACCTTCGTAAAATTTTGAATTGCCAACTCGTATAGATAATAATTCTAGTGTCGCTATACCAACGATATAGATGATATTATAGTAATTGTATAGCCTATTACATTTAATATTTATTTTACCATTTGTTGACAGTAATATAAATAAATTAATTAATATTTCATTAATTTGTTTTTTTGAATTATACCTGAAATCTAATCCTGATGCAATAATTGAATAAAATAATCACTATTATTTTATACAATAGGTACTAATCTTACACTTTAATATATTTGAATCAGTCAATTTCTATTCAAATATCAATATTTAAATAAACCAAAATACGTTGTTTGAAGTCGAACGGAGTTTTTTACCTTTCAGTACACTCATAGGTATAAATCATAAATGTATATTGATGAATTTTTATTTTTATTTTTTACCATTTTTAAACGTGGTTGGCTGATACTGGTGTGTTTTACACGGTTGACGCAATAGATCTAAATACGATAGGGGACAATCAATACTCAATATTTATGAGCAATGTGTGTTGCCCGAAGACCATTTTATTGCGTAGACGACAATAGGTAGGTATGCATTTTTTTCATTATTGTGATCATTCATATCATATTCTGACACAACCATTTTCGGTATTATGAATCGTTAAATTATATAAGCTATCTTTTTTTTTTACACCGATCGTATCATTTTTCTCACTAACAACCTGGTCAGAAGAGCAATAAATTTCCCGCTTAGTACATATTGTGTCAAGAGCGATCGAGAAAAAAAACTGTCAGCGATACATTAAAAAATAATAATAAATAATGAACTAACGATACGATATAAACATTTTTTTTATGTCACGAAAACGTGTGTGATGGGAAAATAACTTCAGGTAAATATGATCATTACGTCAGTTACCAATTAAATAGATAACATACTATAAGACCCCAGAAGTTATTAGAAGAAAACGGATTTAAATTAATAAGACTGTTTGTTTTTAAGGGGAAAATAATGTCCACCGATATCTGCCGATTTCCCTCGGGAGTGACTTGACCCAACACTACTCTCTCCACACAATCAATTGCATCCGAGTCATATATTACATATATACTGTACATTTAATCAAAAATATACTCTAGGATATCATCCTCTTATGTTATACTTAAGTTATAAACTTGTGGGTATAAATTCTAACAATAAATATGAGTTATTATTGTTATCAAATTTAAGCACAGAATGATATTATTTAGATATTATAATCGATCCACGCCAGAAAGTTGTAATGATTCAAATATATTACATTTGATACGCATTAATAACAACTGGGTACTTGACAAGAACTGAGAACTACTAACTATTTTATGCAATAGACCAACGAAAATTCTAAACATAAAACAATAATTTCAAGCGGACACATATTTTGGGTTAAAATGATGATATAATATTATTGGAACATATTATAATACATCGTTGCATGGATACTTTTACAACAAGAAATTATAACCGTGAAATTCATCTTAAAATGAATCATAACAATTCTAAATAAAAGATCATATCAATCGATTTTTTTCCTTGGAGTCATATATTATATAGATTATAGGTATATTTATGGTATTTAAAGTTGTTATTATGTAATATACATAATATATTGTGCTTTAAGATAAAATAAACATTATAATATTATAATTTGTTTTTTTAAATCTTGGCATCTTAGGCCATTTTCTGGAACAATTTTAACAGGTTTACATTATATTATCTTAAAATACATTAACATTAGTATAATAACTAATAATTACAAATGATTAATTAAATTAGACTCAATTATAAATGCCATTGTGTTATTTATGTTCTTTGGATGGAGAGCTTCAGAGAAGATGTCTGGTACTTCTGCTTCCCTTTTATCCGTTTCATAGAAGAGATATTATGCTTTTATGAATGTATATAAACTAGATCATTGACATTTGTATAAAAAAAATAATTATAGTTTTCAATAGATAATTTAAAATGTATATTGAGATCGACAGATTTATACATCATAATAAATGCCTATACATAATGATTATGAAGTACTACATAATACAGATTGACTATAAAATATTCTAGTCATTTATGATCGATACTATCTATATCATCTAGGACCTACGTATATATTGTCTAAAATTCAAATTCCTATACATTTTATGCCTTCGATGTTTGACGGATTTTTACTCGTGGGTGTATTTATAATATATATGTTTTTTAAATTCAGACCTTTAGCGATGTTCAATAGCGGCTCAAGAGTTACGATAAACTTAACAGTTGACAATTATTTGAGGTTCGGAACTTAGGGTGTGTATTTTGAGATTTGACGGTTACAGTGATAATGAAATACATGATACAGGTTTATCGTTTTATATAGCACTGTTGTTGATTATTGCAGTGTCCGAGAAATTACGCGATAATTTTTCTGTCGTATTGGCAGCCCTTGTGCGCGTTTCAAAGGCAAACGAAGTTAACGTTCATACAATATATATATATACACACACACACACGATCTGGTGCACATTGATTGGCGGTGGAGGAAATAAAAACGTTAGCGTTTCGGTATACGCGAGGGGACAAGGTGTAGTGAGAAAATAGAAAGAGAGGAAAAAAAGAAGGAATTATCAATGACAACGGTTTCCCCTTGGCGCGCGCCAGCCACTTGTGTTCTTCTTCTCTTCTTTTACGAAGCAAATTGACCAAATTGCCCGACCAGAGGCGGCGGCGAAGTTCCCGCGGGACCGTACGAGCTGTGTCGGCGGCCACTCGGCACTTTGGACCCCGCGCCAACACACACACCGTGTTTATTAGGTTACCGGTTCTCTTTCGAAAAACATTTTCGCTTTTGCAGACGGACTTATATATATTTCTGTGAGTGTGGTGTTTGTGAGTGGGTGCACAGTGCACACTGCAAATGCGTGCGTGTAAAAACATTTGAAGTATCGAATGACCGGCAGTCACATTCCATTTAAATATTCACAAATTCACAAATTCACCAACTCGCCAAAACAATATTACTGATGATAAATTGATGATCATAAATGATACATGATATATTTACAAGTGTTGATGGCTATAATTCTACATATTATTATTATATGGTCTAAGTCTAAGACACAATAGGTAGGTAGGTACCTACTCAAAGAGAATATCTACAAACAAACTCAAATCAAATTAAGGTATACTTATTTGAATAATAGTTATTAGAATTGTAAAATAAATGTTTATTAATATTATTAACTAGTGGACATCTTGCTATAAATTTAGGGCATTAAGATTCAGTGTTGAGTGGTTTTGAATTTATTAGAAATGGTTTTAATTATCCCTAAATATAAAACTATTCAATTTCTAAACAATTAATACCTATCTGCTTTAATGCATATTGCATAATATATGAAACTTTTATATTATCAATAGATATACATAACCAAGTTAATACTTATGTATAATACCTATTAGGTATATAAATAATCAATTATGTATATGAAATATTATTTTGCCATAATAAGGGACAGGCACATTTTCAATTAGACTCAATATAATTTTGTCTTCAATTAAAAAATGGTGCTCTAGTTTTCTATAATTATTCAATCATAAAAGTACCATTTTTTTCTTACAATCCATACTTGAATTATTGCATAGTTCTTTGACCAATAGTCAGATATACCTAACCTAACCTTAAGATTTTATTTCTAGTTTACTTTATTATAATCGTTTATATAATAGTAAAAAATAAAAGAATAATAGGTAAGTATGCAAAAAGTATTTTAAATTATTATATTATAGTGAATGTTAGTAGTTTGAAAATGTTTTTTATTTTATTTTGTTATTGTTCTTTTTTTCGAATACAAAGTAAAATACAAATGGCTGTTGATCTCATTTTATATTAATAACATTCCGTTACGGATCACATGAAACGTTGATTTTTTATATTCGTAGACATTAATTTTTTTCTTCGTTCATTTCTATTGTTTGTTCGACATTTTTAAGAGAGTGCGAGAAAGACCGCGTTAATCCAGAACAGCTACCGGGTCTTGTCGCCTTTGACCTGGACAGAAAGCCGCCGCCCGAGTGTTTGATTAAATAATCCATCATCAATCTCTTCTCAACAATAAAAGAAGAGAGAGAACGATCAGTATAGAAAGGGCAAGAGAAATATTAGAATTATCCTCTATTCATTCACTATTATACGTATTTTTTATTATTATTATATATATAATAAATTCTATGAATTTACAGCAGCGTATTGTTGTTATAAAGTTGTAGGATCGATTCTAAGTCGAAAAATTTTGTACGTGATTTTTGTTATTTTCACTAGAAATGCATTTTTCTCCCTTTCAAGTTTTTATGACGAGAAAGCAGTAAAAGCCAGCAAGGAGGTCTATT